ATACCGTATAAAGAAAAAAAATTAAAGGGGGGCTATTAATTCTGATCTCAACTGTACATGTTGCAATAACATTAATTCTGAAACATTCAATTTATGCAAGTTAATATATTTAATTTACGATGTTTAAATATTTTGCAATTATTGGAATTAACCAGCTCATATCCGCTTGTTAGGTGTGACGTCACACGAAGCGGCTTCCAGGTCCAAGCGCTCTATTTAACCGAATGGGGAGACTCATGAAATGGTAATAATAAACGTTTACAACGTGATTTAATACTTTCGAAAATCACGATGGCAGTATATATGTCCATGCCTAATAGCCGATGGCCAGAAAGTGATTCATTTTTTTATAAATTGTTAAAATTTTGGTATTTGTAATGCAGCAATCTCAGAGATTGTTGTGTAGACTATGACTTTATCTAAAATTAACTGTAATGTGTGATATGAATAAAAAAGTGATAAACAAATGATTTCTCAACTCAAATGAGTCGCAACTTGGACCCGGAAACAGTATTATATACGTCACCAACACGTCATCACTTAACAAGCTGATACTTTCTTCGGAAATTTTTTTTTTTTAGATCGATTGCTGATTTTAATGTGCAGGTAAGACAATGGATTAACATGTTTCTAACTGGATCAGATACAACAAGACTTTTTATTTTTATTTTTGGACAGGATCAATTAAACATGAAAAAAAGGGCGAGATTCATAAAGAAGCACAAAAAAATGTGCTTTTTTCAAACCCAGGTCTGTTTAATGTCTGCTATGTGTTATTGCAGTATTTTTTTCTTTATGCTCATGTTCTGATAAATGAATTCAGAATTATTTTTGCTAATATTTTTTTTTTATTCCTTTATTTATTATTTGAGTACAGTGTGTGTGTGTGTGTGTGTGTGTGTAACGAGGAGACTGACACGGAGGGATCCATTATGCAGTATTTATTAATCAAGCTCTCACTCAAACACACAACATGCACCAAAGTGCAAACACACATCAACAATAGTCTGAAAGGTTTCAAGACTGGCGGTAAACAGACACAGAGGGATTTACCAGGCATGGGTCAAAGGCAGGCTGCTTGTATCAGAGTCCGTGTATCAGGCTTTGGCCGTGGGCAGGCAGCGAGTATCAGAGTCCGTGTATCAGGCTTGGGTCGTGGGCAGGCAGCGAATATCAGAGTCCGTATATCAGGCTTGGGTCGTGGGCAGGCAGTAGGCGAAGCAGAGTCAGAAACAGGCTGGAGTAATACACGAGAGATCAGGCAGGGAATAACGCTCAGTAATGCTGGCCGGGGCTAAACAAGACTTCGCACTGACTGAGTGTTTGTGTGCGGCTTATAAAGGGTACGTGGGTTGTTAGCTAGATTCAGGACAGGTGTGTGCACAATCAGCGTAAGTGGATGATGTAATGCTAGAAGTCTGGAGATGACGGCCTCTGCTGGCCAGCGAGTGGAGTGACTGGGACCGAGTCGGTGACAGTGTGTGTGTGTGTGTGTGTGTGTGTGTTTGTGTGTTTGTGTGTGTGTGTGGACCCCCTGAAATAGCAGTGGCATCCCATGTAAAAAATAGTAATCTCCACCACTGTTTTCTCATCCCCCAATGTGGGTTACGTTTAGGGGGCGGGGTTTGATGCCACGCCTCCTTTTTAAAATTGTACATTTTTGTACGACTGAACTGGAATCCATACAAATTAGCCACTAAACTGACAAAACGTAAAATAGTTACATTTCCTCGTGAGATCAGGCTGGAAATACAGAGAACAACATAAATGAAAATTAATATTTTCATTCATTTCTTATTAAATATAGCCAATCATTTTTGGTGCGTTTAATCAAAGTAGATTATTTAAACAATTATATCCATTAAAATAGGAGTTTGGTCAATGAAAATCATTAGGAATACAAAGATCATACATTTAAATTCAAACTAGTTATTGCAAAATACTGCAAAATTATAACTAAATGATTTTTTTTTTATGTTTTTCTTGATTTTTCCTGTTTAATACAATTGTATTTAATAATGTCCCCAATATATTTATTCGGGTGTACTCTTTTTTATTTTTATTTATTTATTTATTTTTTTTTGGACTGTGATCCTTTTTGTTCGAAGTTTAGTTCCAGTTTTGTCTTTGGCACTGGCTAATTTAATGTTTATGCGCAAATAAATTATTGTAAAGCGTCCTATAGAAAATACCAACTTAAACGAGAGATCTCATTAAGCTGAGCACTTTATTTTAGTACCTGTTTGTGTGTGTGTGTGTTCTCTTTGTGTGCATCTGTTGCTCTGCTTTGCCGTTCTCACACATAAAAGCCTTTGGCGCGGACCTGAAGGCTGGCATGCATGTTAATGACGCTGCTCTTGTGTTGTGGAGGTGTGTGTGTGTGTGTGTGTGTGTGTGTGTGTGTGTGTGTGTGTGTGTGTGTGTGTGTGTGTGTGTGTGTGTGTGTGCGTTTTAAGTGCTGGAAGACAATAATACCTCTCACTCATCACATATGGCAGTCTCCAGTCACACACATGCACTGCTGACAGACCTAAACACAGCTCAAGAACTTGGGAATTTCAAGAACATGTCACATGGAAAGTGTATTGTATTCTATACGCATTCTACACATAAATTACGCAGTGCGCACAAACAAAACGTTTGTTTTGATATGTTGTTTACATGTATTTGCACAATTTCGAGCTTTCAGGCCTACTTTATTAAAAAAGCTCTCGTGTTCGTGTATCTGTGTTTATGATTGGTGAACAACAGTGACCAGTGGTGAAGCGATGACCATCAGAGCCAATCACAGTCATATCTGTTGGGCATGTAAACACACCAGCCAATCAGCTGTGTTTAAAAACTGCACTCAAATTTTGATGGGAGATACATGTTTTGAACATTTTTGTATTGATTGGTATTGAAGCCAATACTTTTGACCAGTGTTTCTCAACTGGTGGGTCATTTTTAGTGGGTCGTGGAGTGTGTGGTCAAATTTTTAGTTACATAAAACTTGAAAAATTAAGATGTTTACTTGCAGGATCTCTCAAATCTTTTTACAAGACCTGGAACCTTGTTTTAGACTTTATCAAAGGCTTTTGTTGTTTAGTCGATATCAGATCTAATAAACAGTAATTAATTAGAAAGAGGAAATATTGACTTCTTAATGTGAACTTTTAATTACTATTTTTTCAATTGTTATTATTATAATTTTATTTATTTATTTTATTTTTATTTCTTTTTTTGCTTTTATCGTAAACTTGCTCATTTATTATTAAATTGTTTAACAATTTCTTTTAATTCTTATATTTTATTTTTAATTTCTTATTATTTCTTTTAGAGGATATGTTTGTTTATAATTCATACATTTTAATTTATTTTATTTCAAGGGGATAGTGGGAAAATAAGGAAAATAAGACACTCTGTAATTTTTCCTTTGTTGTATTGTATACTATGTTGTATTGTCTTGTTAAACTCAATAAAAAAAAATTAAAATAAAATTAAAAAAAAGTTACTTTTTTTTTTTTTACTTATTTTGCATATATTGAAATTTTATTTTGAAATGCGTGCGCGACAGCCGTACCGTTTGACCTGTGAAGTTTTATTTAATTATAGCAACAAATATGTCGGAGCGCAAGTAGGACCCTGAATATGTAACGTGTGGATTTACATATATTGAAAAACCTTAGTGTGTCAAATGTAGTGAGGTGCTCTCTCTACATATGACATCCCAGTTGCAAGGACAAACCTGTGGACTATTTTCAAAGCTGACTCCAAGAGCTGAGGGCATCGCTCACAAAAGTGCCTAGCAAAGGCCAAGAAAGCCCACACAAAAGCTGAAGAGCAAATAACTGGTGATTATTATTAAAATGGTTATGACTATTTTAATCATTCTACTTTAATTTGCTGGTTCGTTCTGTTCAACAGGATCAGTGTTAACGTTTTATTAACAGTTCAGTTTAGTTAATGGTAACTGAACTTTTTTCTTACTAACCACTGTTTACAGTATTTGATGTTTTTACTCTAATATTACTGTAATTTGATACATTTTGTTAAATGACAGCAATAAAATATTTTTTATTTGTAAGTCTTGGTGATTTTCTTATGATTTTTCTGTCACTACTTGTGTATGTTAATAAATAAATACAAATTAATTATAATTCCTAAAATTATATTATAGTTCCTAAAAATTTGGGTCGCGGCTTGTTGACCATGTTAAAATGTGGTTCCCATGTAGAGGTCTGCCGCGGGACCCGACCAGATTTCTGCGGCATAGGAATACATTTCCGAATAAAGCGCGGGAGCGGTCGGTAGCGGTCAGGCTTAATTTGGGATGGAGCGGGCCATTTAGCAATATCGCTCCAGACTCCCGAGTGAGTGAGCACGCGCATGTATGTGAGTAAATGAAACAGCTCGACGCTTTGTTTAGCTTGTTTGTTGCTGTGTGTGTGTATGTGTGTGTGCGCGTGTGCGAATGAGAGGTGTGTGTGTGTGTGTGTGTATGTACGCGAATGAGAGAGAGAGCTTTGTCGGTGTGAGTGTGCTTGGTGCTTATGTGTGTGTGTGTGTTTATACAGACTGCTTGTTATAGGCTGTCTGGACTCTGTATAGCTGGGTGGTTTTCGGTTTTGTTCTCCCCCCGCTCTTTAGCGGGATCGGGCGCGGCGGGTATAAAATGGGGCGGGTCAGGTAGCGGGACAACAAATACTCAATATAAGCGGTCGGGTTCGGGCTAAAACCTGGCGGGAGATCTCCACGCAGATCTCTAGTCCCATGGCCAAACTAGTTGAGAACCACTGCTTTTGACAACTCTTCAATAGAGTTTTCTATTTGTGTAAAACTATTATACCATCCTCATGTTGCTTCAGAGCTGTAAAACATCATTTATTCTATAGAAAACAAAGATGTTTTCTGTGACATCCTGAAATATTCGATCAGAAAATAATGAAGGTTAAATATTCATGCTTTAATAGACTGTTGATGAATTTATTAATAAACTACCATTGCTGGTTTGTTTTCAGGTCTAATACGTTACCCAGCAGGAGGACATTGAAGAACTCCAGATTAGTATGTAAGAAAGACGACGTTCATGTGTGCATCATGTGTCTACGGGCTATCATGAACTACCAGGTAAATCACAAAACCTTCAATCTGTGTTGGTAAGGATACTGTTGATCATCAGTTGGCACTGTTAACCCTTTAGATAGGCCAGTGCTTAGTTTCTGGATTTGAGGTTAACAGCAAATTAAAGTGTGTGTGTATGTGTGTCTGAGTGTGTGAGAGTGACCTTTACGCACTCACCTTGATGTGTCTGAAAAATTCAGATTATTTATCTCAGCTCTCAGAACTACATGGAGTAAACAAAAACAAAGACTGTGCATTTATGCACCATCAAATGTGCGTATAATGGAAGTCAATGGGGCAAAAACAGCCACCAGCAGTAAATTAAGGAGAAAACACATGAAAATCTAACAATGCATCAAAGCCAATGTTGTTACTAATCGTTCACAAGTCCAAGACTTTGATTTGACTTTAACAATTACTTTTTATATTAAAAATACGCCATTTTGTGTGTTTTTTCACCAAATCAGTGACATCATTTATGAATTTGGCACTTAAAAAGTGAAAATCCTGTCATTTTCTAAACAATTTAGTAGTTTTGATCAGGACTGAGGTTGATTTTTACAGATTTATGAAATATATATACGTATTGTAAAAAAATATTGATCAGATGCATTTTTACAGCAGTTTAATTCAGTGGATGTTTTCATCTCTAACATAACAAAAGGGTAGTAATTTGAACAGTGCACAAGGGTTAATGAAAATACTGATTATATAATACAATTATGTAACCAAGTTTACTTACCTTAAATGTGAAAATCACAGAATTAATCTAAATACATTAGTTTAAAGCAGCGAAACTAAATATTTGGCCTATGTCTGGTGTAGAAACAGCTTCTCAGTTTTACAAATCACCAAAACATTTACTTTTTACAGTTTATCAAGCCCCAAAACATTAACAAAAGCCTGTTGACACACATACAGTGCTCAGCATATATAAGTACACGCCTCACAAATCTCTCTTTTTTAAAGTTTGTATTTTTAATAGGAAGCTCTACAATATTATATTTATGCATATACATTAGATAAGTCAGTACTGAAGCCAAATCTGGCGCTTATCTAACAAAATAACATATGATAACGCTCCAAAAAACTAGTATAGCTAAATTCATATGTTATAGAAAAATATTAAATATTAATAAAAAAAGAAGTAAAATCAAGAGAAGCTAAAAAAAATAAAAAAAAATGTGGTTGAAATTTTGTAGGTTGTCATTTTTTGCGATATTTTGCTTGAATTTAATTGTATTATCTTTCAATTTCTCAATATTTTTGGTGAGTAAAATATGATTTTAATAAATAAATCTGTTTAATAAATCTGTTTTGTTTAAATGCACCAAAAACCCTATAGTCACTGAGAAATGGAAACAATATTCATTTTCAAAATGAGCTGTCCTCAATTATGCTGAGCACTGTATCCAGAGCACAGACAGTATGATCCAGCTCTGCAACAGGTTTCAATCTGGGCCTCACATATACAGAAGGCACAGAAACATGGTGATTTGTGAAAAGCTGTTCGGTCTTCATCACGTTTTATGTTCAGATGATAAATCTTGAAGATCCTGCTATGTTTGCTAATTAGTCCTCTCTCTGTCTCTCACTCAGTATGGCTTCAACATGGTCATGTCTCACCCTCATGCTGTGAATGAAATTGCACTAAGTCTGAACAATAAGAATCCCAGGTAACCCGTAGAGACGGAGCAAATGTGTGTGTGTGGATCTGTGAGCGCTTTCCCAGAATTCACCGCTTTTATTCATCTCGGTTGTGACTCCCCTTTCAGAGTCATAAATACTGGCAGCTATAACAACAAACCCCTTAATCTGTCTGTGTGATTGTGTATGTGTGTGTGTACCTTGTACTTTTTAAAGGGATAGTACACCCAAAAATGAAAATGTCCTGTTTGTTTACTCACCCACAAGTCATGTGACTTTTTAAAAACTCTTTGGGGTTGAAGCTGAGTCCGTGGCCCTTGGTGATTCAAATAACACTAGTGAACAGTGATAGGTTTGTAGATTAAAAATAAACACATACAAATTAGTCCAACTTAAAAGCCATGGCTCCTGATGACACGCTGTGGCACATGTGCGTATGTAGTCGATTTGTATTGCAGTCGATTTGATGACGGAAGCACCAGAGCGGACACTTGCACGGGAGGTCAGATGATGCATTTTGTTGGTAGCGATTGGTGATTCCCCGCACATTCTACGTGACAGTACTACATAAAACTACATTTGCTGATGTGTCAAGCAGCCCATGGACTAAATGGAGTTCATAATTTATACAATGTAAATTAGTTACATTTCCTACACTAACCAGTTATTTCCTCTTCACGAGACTGCAATGTGTCATCGGTAGCCGTGGCTTTTGATTTGGACTTGTGTTTATTTTTAATCTAAAAAAACTCACAGTTCACTGCCATTATATGAATCACCAAGAACGTTCGAGGTTACTAAAGTAACCCTTCGTTCCCCGAGGAGGGGAACGGAAGCACTATACTCCGTTGCCATAATGACTGTCCCTTAGCTGTTAAAAGTCTCTTCAGCTTAAAAAGGATAGCGTCTGCTGGCGCCAGGTGTGCTTATATACTCAGTTGATTGCATATGCCGCACACCTGCCAATTCATTCTTAATTGGCCCGTTCAATACTCTTTCAGACGAGTAGCTTCTGAACCGAATCTCCCATACGTGGATTAGTAAATCAATCCACTTATAGTGCTGGAGTTCCCCCCGAAGGGGAACTACAAATTCAGCTCAAAATCTTCTTGAATGGTTCTACTGAAGAAAAAAAAGTCAGCTACAGCTTGGGTGCCCTGTTGGCGAGTAAACTAATAGGAAATTTAAATTTTTGGGTAAACTATCTCTTTAAGTTGTGGGACACTGTTTGACATTGTGGGAAAAAATATTTTTGTAGTATTTTGAAAATGTCAAAATGCTAAATGTTTCATGTTAAGGTTTGTTTTAAGGGCAGGGGAATATAATATACAGCCTGTACAGTGAAAAAATATATATTACTTCTATGGGAAGTTCCCGTAAAGATACAGCAGTGTGAAGTGTTTTCCCGTTAGGGATTTCTTATCTTTTTGCATGTTTGTGACACTTAAATGTTTCAGATCATTAAACAATTGTAAATATTAAACAAATATAATCACATTATGCAGTTTTTAAATGGAGGTTTTTATTGTTAATGAAAAACAACCCTGTGTGAAAAACAGCCCTGTGTGGAAAAAGTTTTGCTGCTTCAGGACCATGAGTTCTGCTGTGTTGCAAATATCCTAAAGGAGATTGTCCGGCCATCTGTTAGTGACCTCAAGCTGAAGCGAACTTGGGTTCTGCAGTAGCACAATGATCTAAAGCACACCAGCAAGTCCACTTCTGAATTGCTGAAGAAAAACAAAATGAGGACTTTTGGAGTGGCCCAGTCAAAGTCCGGACCTGCATCAAATTAAAATGCTGTGGCATGACCTTAAAAAGGTTGTTATTGCTCAAAAACCCTCCAGTGTGACTGAATTACAGAAATTCTGTGAAGATGAGTGGCCAAAATTTCTCCACAGTTGTGGAACAGACTCATTGCAAGTTATTGATTTGCCTGATTGCAGTTGTTGCTGCTAAGAGTAGCCCAACATGATATTAGGTTTAAGGGGGAAACACTTTTTCACAAAGGGCTATGTTGTTTTGTTTATTGTTTTCCCTCAATAATAATAACCTTCCTTTTAAAACTGCATGATATGTTTACTTTTGTTGTCTTTGACTAATTTTTAAATGTGTTTAATGTTTTGTAACATTAAAGCCTGGGAAACATGCAAAAAAAAAAAAAAACAACAAGAAATGAGTAAACACATTCACAGCAAACACCTTTTCGCACCACTGTACCTGTACAAAGGTGTTTGTGTGTGTGTGTGTGTGTGTGTGTGTGTGTGTGTGTGTGTGTGTGTGTGTGTGTACTGGATTTGATGTTTTACAAGGACAAATTTGTATGATGCCATGGTTATGGTGACCTAGGTATTACAGTGTTGAGGTGGTTTATGAGGACATTACGCATGTCCTCATAATTCAAAATTAATTAATAGGGTCGTTTGACATTTAAAATTCCCCTGAGGTTTCCTGTGAGTGTGAGGGTTGGGTTAAGGGGTAGGGGTGGCTGAATGCAACATAATAAGCAGTTTTTACAGTATAACATACATAATGCCTATGGAGAGTCCTCGTAAACCACCAAAACCGACAACCAATCAGAGTCATATATGTTCAACATGTAGACACAATGGCAGTGTTTATAACAACGCTTAACAGCACTAAAATGGTAATGTTAATATATATATTTATATATACAATTTACATTTTATACAACGCTTTATAAATATACCTTTTTTAAATACCTTTGACAACTCTACAATAGAGTTTACCATATGTTTGAAGCCAGTGTTTCTCAGCCACGTTCCTGGAGGACCACCAGCTCTGCACAATTTCCATGTCTTCTTAACCAAGCACACCTGATTTAGATTAACCTGATTCATAGGCTCATTAGCAGAGACTGAAAGACCTGAAATGGGTGTGACAGACAAAGGAGACATCCAAAACATGCAGTGTTGGTGGTTCTACACTGTAAAACCCAACAGTCAACCTTATCAAATTAAATTAGTGTAGTTATCTCAATTTACTGAAAGTTAATTCTACTCAGTGTTGAAGGTAATGAGTTAATTAAATACCTCATTATACTTTAACTTAAATGGAGTAAATTCTAGGCATGGGTCGGTATAAGATTCTGATGGTATGATAACCTTGGATATAAATATCCTGGTATTGTGATTACTGCTCTATAATATATATTTTTTAAATGTCTGGGAAAAATCAAAACCTTTTTCCGCTTTTTACACAATATATTTTAATTTAGAAAACATGTAATATATTTTGGAACAGTAAACATATCAGGCTAAATAATTCAAATAAATCATTTACTTCTGATGTCTTCATTAGTTTCAAAATCACTTTTTTTTTCTTATCTGCTGGAGATACTGTTGTCCTAAAAAACAAAACATAAAAATACCCTAGGAACAGTATAGCAGAAGATTTTGACGGTTTTAAAACCTTGACTTTTCCAAACCGTGGTATACCTTGACCATGGTTATCGTCCCATGCCTAGTAAGTTCACATTACTCATATAAATTAGCTTTTTTTTTAACTCAAATGTTATGTTGCAATCTATTTCCTCAAACGGTTTGATTTGCCTTAACTTGCTAGGTTTTACAGTTCTCAGTTGGTTTTAGTTCTCTTCATTTATTGGGGTTTACTGTGCTCAAATTGCTTCATTTCCTCAAATGGATTAAGTTCATAGTACTCATTAGGATTAGTTTTGGAACTTAAATGGTTTGTTGCAATCGGTTTCCTTGAACAGTTTGAGTTACCTTAACTTATTGGGTTAATAAGGAACGTGGTTGAGAAACACTGTTTTAACCTTTATATCATAAACAACCAAAACCATTGTGTTTCTGTGTGTGTATGTATAAAGAGAGAGGTTTATAGTCAGTGTAACTAACAGAAATGGGGAAATTGTATTTGTAAAAATCTCATTATAGCCAACATAACCAAGACCATTTTTTATGATCTTGCTGTTTTGTGAACAGGACTAAGGCTCTGGTGTTGGAGCTGCTGGCTGCTGTGTGTTTGGTTCGAGGAGGTCATGAGATCATTCTCTCTGCCTTTGATCATTTTAAAGAGGTACACACTCTTAAAGCCCTACTCACACTGTGATTTCAGACAGGTTTTGATCATCTGAGGCAATTTGGGAAAATCCTAAAAGATTCCTGTGGTCTTCGATAATTAGTTTGACATGTTCACTGACAGATTAATGGCTGTTGCGATTAGATTTTCCCTTCGATGAAATTCTGGCAGTGTCAGAAGATTTCAGAGTGTTTTTAGCTATGATATACGTCAACCCAAGAACCAACAGGAGTGCGAATCTGATGTCACAATCAGCACGACAACTTTAAACCACCTCTACTTCCTATTTGTGATTCAAAATAATAGTCATCATACTCAACGCTGCTACAGATAATATTAATTATAGTTTAATTGTTCATTGATCGAGTCTTCGCATTGATCCGTGAGCCAGACTGAACATCCACTGGTGACCTACTCACACCTGCAGATTCTCCACGATGGACGTCCAGCTCTGCACAAGAAATTTGGCCAGAGGAGAAATGGTCCTGTCCAACTGAGGCTAGTTTCTCTCGAGGTTTTTTCACTTTTGTCAATTGGTGAAGTTTCTTTATCGTCACTATGGCCACTGGCTTGCTTGGTTTAGGACTTGCGGAGCTGCGCATCAATGGATTTGCTCTTCAGTGTTTGGACTTTCAGCAGTAGAAAATTAAATTACACTGAACTGAACTGAACTAAACTGAACATCAACTCTGAAAGCTGGACTGACACAGTTTAAATTTACTAAAACTTCTTTGTTAAGCTGCTTTGACACAATCTACACTGTAAAAGCGCTGTAGAAATAAGGATGAATTGAATTGAATAATTGATATGAGATGTGTACACATATTTAAGAAAGCATAATATATTCATTTGTTTAGTGGAAGAATTTCAATTATATTTTATTCCTAGCTATTCTGAGGAGTAGATCAATGCAGTGTGTTATTTCTATGGGGAGGATTGGTGGAATACGTTGAACTACTGCGTTGAGTTTATTAAATGTCACAGAACTCAATAAAGCCAGAAAAGGATTAGGGTGGCATCAAATTCTCATTTCATTGTCTCTTTACATACTTCCAATGTTCCTTCTCGATGCATGAGCTCTTTTTTTATTGCTTCACAGGTGTGTTTAGAAGAACAGCGCTTCGAGAAGCTCATGGAGTACTTCAAGAATGAAGACAATAACATTGACTTCATGGTATGTGTGACACTAATATGCTAATGTTTCTTTTTTTTTTAAATACATAACACTTAGGGGTGTAATACATGAACATATGGACACCATTTAAAACTGGTTTATTACTTGCCTATTGTTAAGATATTAACTGTATATTAGCACTTACTATTTTAGCTGTTGAGGATGTTTACATCCACTCTGGGGGGATTTTGAGTCTAAATTTGGCCACAACTTTCTGTGTTTCAGAAAATGGAATGATTTTTGGGAACAAATCTTATTTTAACACATATTTTGGAAAAATGGTTTAAAAATAAAAAAAATTAAAAAACTCAACAATACACCCGATTTGCCCCATTAACTTCTATTATAATGACATTTTTAGATTGCAAAGCTACACTGTAAACCCTAATAAGTTGACTAAACTAAATTAATTGAGGAAACTTGTTGCCTCAATTTAATTGAGTAATGGAGTTTCCCAAAACTTGCATATTTAAATTTATTTAACTTGCCGGTTTTGTAGACTATACTGAACTTAAATTGTTCAGTTCACCAAACTTAGTACTAGTTTTAAAAACCAAATGCAAAACGCATCACAAAAAATGTCTTAGCTGTTGGATGATGATCAAAAAAAAAAAAAAACGGCCACAGATTCAGAGTAAAAAAAACATTGAGTGTGTTAAAATATGTTGATCTACTTCTGCATTGATTTAACGACTTGCAGATAATTGGGGAATGAAACTTCATAATGATGTTTTGTATCCAAAACATCAAATCTTATCCAGACAGCATACTAATACATTTTCCAAACATTCAATTACCTGGACAATAAGGAAGTCCTTAGGCTGAGCTTAAAACTCAAGGTTTCCCAGCTAGGACTTCACAATGCAAACAGTTTGAAGTAGCTCCGAGGAACCAGGCGTTCCCTCTACCACAACGGAATCTATTCTTCATTCACCCACTGTTCTGTAGACTTAAAGGGGCTAATAATTTTGTCCTTAAAATGGTTTTTAAAAAATTTAAAACTGCTTTTATTCTAGCCGAAATAAAACAAACAAGACTTTCTCCAGAGGAAAAAAAATATTATCAAAAATAAAAATTTCCTTCCTCTGTTAAAGAGCCCATATTATACATGAAATAGGGTCATATCCTGGTTGTAAGGGTCTCCAACAACAGTCTAATATGCATGCAAGGTCAAAAAACACTTTCATGGTCTTATAATCTGCATTTATTTTTAGCTAATTATCCCAGCGACTCCTGTATGAATCGTCCAGTGATTCATTTGTTCCCAAACCCCTCCTTAGCGCGGAGCTAATCTGCGCTGATTGGACCGATGACAGTCTGTCGCGATTGGTCGACGGCCTTCAGTCAGAGAGGGAAATGGCCAATAGCTAATCAGCAATTTAAAAAGTAATCACAGTTCATACACGCTCGATAGTGTAGACGTGGATTTTAGCTGCCACACTATGGCGAGTGGATAGTGCCACGGATAACCGAACGAAGGAGACAGTCGTGTACTCGCCATACCACACACACACAAAAACACACACACACCTCCGGATGACAACGCTCCCGCTTCCGCCCGCACCCGCCAGGTTTTAGCCTGAGAACCCGCTCCGTTTTCTGCCCGCCGCGCCCGGTCCCGCTAGAGCGGAGAACACAACCAAAAATCACCCAGTATACAGTCCAGACAGCCAAGCTGTCTGTATAAACACACACACACAGCACAAAGCACACAAAGCTCGTTCGTTCGTTCGCTCTCTCTCTCTCTCTCGCTCTCTCTCATACGCGCGCGTGCGCACTAACACACACACACAAGCACCACGCAGACTCTCTCTTTCTAATTCGCATAGCAATATCCGTGATATTGCTAGACAGCCCGCTCCCTTCCCAAATTAAACCCGTTACCTACCGCTCCCGCGATTTATTCGGAAATTTATTCCAGATTTCTGCGGCGCGGGAATAAATTTCCGAATAAATCGCGGGAGCAGAACTCTAGCACGGAGCTCCATAAACAAACAGCACGCGTCGCGTTTTTAACGTGACTTTGCACGCGATAAGATAATATATCCAGTTAACCTGATACAGTACACGCGGTTACAAGTAACAAATCACAACTAAATACATTTGCAAGCTAGAGTCAACGAGGCAACAACTTTAACCGCATGTACTTACACTTGAGAAATGGAAGAAACCCATCCTGACGTCCATCAGTTACTCTTTACTGATCCTTCCTTTAACAAACGCAGATGAAGTATTCTTTGTAGCATGTAGCTTCCAGAAGTTTCCAACTGCTTGGTTATAATGCTGATGTTTCATCTTTGGGTAGAGACTCAATATAATGTCCATCTGCAGTGTTACTTCAATCGACCGGCATGTTTGTGTGCATGTGTTTGTGGGTGTGCGTGTGTTTGTGGGTGTGTGTGTGTGTGTCTGGGTTTCTGCGTCAGAGGGCGGGGCCTCAGGTTTGAAATCTCCCTGGTTTGCGCGTGCACGTGAATAACTTGGTTTCGTTCGTACGTCATGGCGAAACACCTAATGAGTCGGTATCAAGGCGACTCGTTTGAAGCACTATGAGTCGACTCTTTTATAGATGAATCAACCGTTTTAAACACTGTATTCTTACAGATTTAAGCCTTAGCTGGATACTTCACTTCACTTAGAGCTGTGTTACACACTACATGGAGGGGAATTTTCAAAAACCCATAATATGGGCTCTTTAAACATAATTTGGGAAATATAAAAAAAAATAAATTATATATATATATATATATATATATATATATATATATATATATATATATATATATATATATATATATATATATATAAAATATATAAATGCATGTGTGTGCATGCGTGTGTGTAATAATATACTATGAAAAAAATGTTTAAATAAATTTCAAACAAACAATAAGTAGCCATTTATTCACATAATGATGAATAATTATACCTGAAGCCATTTGTTTTCTGATTTAAATAAAGATCTTGCACTTAAAAGTTTGCACATATTAGAATTTTACAGTCAAAACTACATTTGTAAAATTGACCTATTTCTTTCAAAGGATTAATTATGATTTTGAACTTACTACACTTGAAATCTTAAGTTTATGCAGTTTCATGGTACATAAGTTAAATTAACTCATATTTTAAAGTGATAGGACCAAAATGCTACATTTTAAGTTATGTTCAGTCAACTTTACTTAATTAAGTAAAGACAACATTAGGGTTTACAGTGTTTAAATGACACATTTTACCTGTTCCTAACAGAGAGAACCAGAAACAACCAAGAATGCATGATTATTTTGTGTCATGGATTTGCAATCAAAAAATGTCATTACAATGGAAGTCAATGGGGCAAAAACAGCCACCAGCATATTGAAAGGGTAGTCAATTTGAACAGTACACAAGGGTTAATAAGCAGCTAATTAGTAGTTTGAGCTAAAAGGCTTAGTTAATGGTTTGTTAATAGTGTAAATTGTACATTAAAATAAAGTGTGAACAACTTTTTATGTTGATGATTTTAAAATGGTGCTATATTTTGTCTCACAGGTCGCCTGCATGCAGTTTATAAACATCGTGGTTCATTCTGTGGAAGACATGAATTTTCGAGTGCACTTACAGTATGACTTCACAAAACTAGGTCTGGATGAATATCTGGACGTGAGTATGAACGTAATTCTTCTGATGTTCAGTATCACTTGCAGGACGTCCCGTCACTCTCTGTCTCTCGCTCTCGCTATAGAAGCTGAAGCACACCGAGAGCGATAAGCTGCATGTGCAGATTCAAGCATACCTGGATAACGTGTTTGATGTCGGAGCTCTGTTAGAGGACGCAGAAACCAAAAACGCAGCGCTGGAGAGGGTGGAGGAACTAGAGGAGAACATGTCTCATGTTAGTATTGTGCTTTCATTATATAACGGCCAAAAAATGTTGTTCATTTGCAGTTACTTGTCAAGTACTTGTACTACAGACAGAATAGCCCCTTTCACACATACGCACCTTTCCGGAAAATTACCGACAATTTTCCGGGAAGGTCTATATGTGTGAACGGGCCCTTTTTGAAAATACCGGTACATTCGTTCCGGCTATTTTCCGGAAAGAGAAGATATCATGACTTTTTTTTTGTAAAGTCTTCAGCTGATTTACTGACTGAGTGATTCTTTGTGGTTTTCTAGCTGACAGAGAAGTTACAGGACACCGAGAATGAGGCAATGGCAAAAATTGTTGAGCTGGAGAAACAACTCATGCAAAGAAATAAAGAGCTGGACTCTCTTCGGGTAAAAGATGCATCCTTACATCCATTACTGTCGTTAAGTTGACTATATTGGTGTTTTTCTTTAGGTATACAATAATGTAATTAAGACACAATACCATGATACCATACCCTCACCAGGGTGCTCGAGAGTTCATGAGAGTATGCCCAACCAGTGTTTTGTTGACTTGGAGAAGGCATTCGATCGTGTCCCTCTTGGCATTCTTTGGAGGGTGCTCTGGGAGGATGGGGTCAGAGGCGCTCTGCTAAGGGCTGTCTTGTCCCTGTATGAACAGAGTAGGAGTGTGGTTCGCATTGCCGGCAATAAGTCAGACTCGTTTCCAGTGCATGTTGGGCTCCAGCAGGGCTGCCCACTTGTCACCAATTCTATTCATAATTATTACGGACAGAATTTCAAAGTGCAGTCTTGGGCTAGAGGGGGTCCGGTTCGGGGACAACAGGCTTTCATCTCTGTTATTTGCAGATGATGTTCTTCTGTTGGCTTTATCAAGCATGGACCTTCAGCATGCACTGGGACGGTTTGCTGCTGAGTGTGACGCGGCTGGGATGAGAATCAGCACCTCCAAGTCCGATGTCATGGTGCTCCACGGAAAAAGGTGGTTTGCCATCTTCAGGTTGGAGGAAAGTCCTTACCCCAGGTGGAGGAGTTTAAGTATCTTGGGGTTTTGTTCACGAGTAAGGGAAAGATGGAACTAGAGATTGACAGGCAGATTGGTGCAGCTGCAGCAGTAATGCGGTCGATGTACCGGTCTGTTGTGGTAAAGAAGGAGCTGAACCGACAGGCAAAGCTCTCGATTTACTCGTCAATTTACGTTCCTACTCTCATGAGCTTTGGGTCATGACTAAAAGGACAAGATCTTGGATACAAGCGGCCAAAAGGAGTTTCCTTCACAGGGTGGCAGGGCACACTCTTATAGACAGGGAGGAGATCTGTCACCCAGGAGGAGTTAGAGTAGAGCCACTCCTCCTTCACATCAAGAGAAGTCAGCTGAGGTGGCTTGGGCATCTGTTTCGGATGCCTCCTGGGCGCCTACCTAGGGCGGTGTTGCAGGCATGTCTCACCAGCAGGAGGCCTCGGGGAAGACCCAGGACACACTGGAGGGACTATGTCTCTCGGCTGGCCTGGGAACGCCTCGTGATCGCCCTGGAGGAGCTGGAGGAAGTTTCTGGGGAGAGGGAAGTCTGGGGTTCTCTCGTAAGACTGCTGCTCCTGCGACCTGGCCCTTGATAAATGAATGAAAATGTCATGACATAACCATGATACTAGTAAATATCATACAAATTTAAGTATTGGTACCATTTAAGTTCCTATTTACTACCTATAACTATGCCTACTGTATATTTTTACCTATATACTAGGCATGTATAATTACGACAACTGGGTAATAATCAGATGCTAATGCTTAACCAAAACTGTTACAATAATTTATTTGACTTGTTCCTTTCGTCTGTAGGTACATTGTAGGTACAATTACTGTCATTTAAAGTAAAACTTTTTTCCTTTTCCTCTTTCTTTCTGTCTTCCTGTACTCAACTTGATCGTTGCAATTTAAAATAAGACAATGAACTTTCATATTTTAATTAGATTATATTACATTTAGTCATTTATCAGGGATTAGAACAAGAACAGAAGCAATCAAACCAACCAATACTCTTAGCATTAGCATTAGAAGGTCAGAGCAGATCGGCTGATGAACTAGTGCTAGTGCAGTGGAAAAGTCAAAGACGTTTGCTGAATTTACAGTTCATACAGCCAGTTTGGTCAATTTAATAACTTTGATTCCTGCTTCAGCTTGTGCTTCCTTTTTTCAGGACGTGTATAAAGATGCCAACTCTCAGGTGCACACTCTCCGGCGGATGGTGAAGGAGAAGGACGAGGCCATTCAGAGGCAGTGCAACCTGGAGAAGAAGATCCATGAGCTGGAGAAACAAGGGACCATTAAGATCCAGAAGAAAGGAGATGGTGACATAGCCATCCTGACATCTCCTCCACAGGGGAACGGGCATCTTACTGGTTCAGAAAGCATCACTGGGGTGCCTAGCGGTGGTGTGGTCAGTCACGGAGGTGTGGCTAATGGCGTAGCACATGGCGTGCACATTCCTGACCCTTCACTACCCCTTCCTCCTCCTTCTTCTTCTGTTTCAGAAACAGGTAAGTGATTTTAAGTGAAGTCTATTTATAAACTTATTTCAAGAGGATCACGTGCATATGATTGCTTGCAGTCGGCCCCGCATTATTTCATTTATGATTGACCAATCAGACGATTCCTAAGCCACTAAATACCATAAGTTCCATATAACAGCATCTTCGTTTTGAAGAATCCTTCCTTCCACCCCTACTCCTTCTCCTTTCCTAGGTGGGAGGCACGGTGGCCCAGTGGTTAGCACTGTTGCCTCACAGCAAGAACGTCACTGGTTCTAGTCCTTACCAAGCCAGTCGACTTTTCTGTGTAGAGTTTAAACACATTCTCCCCGTGCTCACGTGGGTTTCCCCCGGGTTCCCCGGTTTCCTTCCACCTTCCAAAAACATACAACTTAAGTGAATTGACTAATCCAAATCAGCACCATAGACATGCTCCTAGTAAGTAGTTATCTCTTAAGAGCAATCATTATCTGTTCATTAGCTACTACAGGAGAGGAGTTCTCGAGATCTGCCTGAGCTCAAACTCCCCTCTCGCCTTGCAAACGGGAGGGAGCCCCAGGCTCAAGGATCTTATGTAGTCAAGACTCTCTCCCAGGACAGCATGCCAAACAAGCTTTATAATCAATCCTCAGCTCAGGGTGAATGGTCGTTCAGTGCAAAAGTATATTTAAGACCCTGGCAGCCAGTCAGGGTTTAGATCAGGGGTGTCCAAACTCAGTCCTGAAGTGCCAATGTCCTGCAGAGTTTAGCTCCAACTTGCATCACAGTATTGTAACAACAGTTATTATACATAGTGTTATATATAATATTTCTTATATTACCCATTAAATTGGAGTTTGGGCACCAGCACAAGTACAAAGCTCTATATTATAGCTTATTCTGGTCAAACCTCCTATTAAGAAATAAATTGTGAATGGTGGCCAAAGTTGTTACATCTCCTGGCAGATTTAAAATACTGGCCTTTTCTGTTAACGAAACGTGATTTCATTTCACGATGTTCATAAAACATCCTGATAATTGCTCTCAGCTCAATTTCAGATGGAGTAGGTCATACTGTTTTTACTGTAATATTTGGTATGTCAACATCTCTGACAGTGTCGGTGTATTTCCTGAGAACTTCAACATGAATGTTCTCCATGGGTCTGCAACTGAAGTCGAAGATTTCCTTTGAATTCTGTGAAGAAACATGACAATGAAATAAGCCTAAAATGATCAAATACTTGTGCTTCATTTTCTTTAAAGAAAGTGAACCTCTTCCTTCACAAAAAAAAAAAAAAACTGACACTTTAAGGACATTAAAGCTGTGAGAAGGGATAAATTGGTATTTATTATCATCACGAGCTCCTCTTTTCTACCGTTATACATGGGGAGAGGCTGTCGTAAATATTGAGTGGAACGTATCGTTGCATTTAAACTAAATTCAGTGGTGCAACAAATCACAACTAGGCCATGTTTTAACCTACGCACTGCTAGTGCAACTGGCTCCAGTGTCACAAATCAATCAATAAATAAATGAATTTAGTGTCATGAGATGAAATTAACATTCTGTCCTGTTTTATAATTACAGTACTAAATGGTCCGTCTGCAGCTCCGGCACCAGCTCCTCCACCTCCTCCTCCACCTCCCCCTCCTCCTCTTCCCGTAGATATATCTGCCCCTATGCCCCCTCCACCACCCCCCATGGCTCCTCCGCTTCCTGGCTGTGGTTCGCCCACCGTCATCATGAACTCGGGATTGGCAGGTAACAGAAGCTGCACCGCACTACAGACAAAACCTCAACAATCACAGGCTCAAAATATGGTTCAGAATACAAGAACTGCCCACCACAAGAAGAAAAAAAAAGCCACTGATTCAGATTGAGATATGCAGGAAGCCTCTTACTGTTAAAAGGCTGAAGTATTGTAAGCTGCAAAGCTCACGCATCACTTCAGAGTGGCTGCGGGACTCTGGAGCCACAGGCACACTGTATGCTCACTGAGCTGAATGATAACAATCGCAGCTCAAGCTGTTTGTGTGCTTTCTGGAACAGGTTTAATGTCTGAACAAGCGATTAACCTCTATTCTGCTGAAGTCATAATCTTGGCTCTATGATCAGATCCCTTGAAACATCTTTCTGTTTAAACACACTGACTTCTGTTGAAAATGTATTTACTACAACAATATTGCACAACATTATCACAGCGTTCTTTCAATGTGTACAATTACTTTGAAGTGTAATTTTACACAAAACATTTGACATTTTTTATGTTGCTCCAGCCTCATTCGTTCAACTTCTGAACACATTAAAATACTTTAGATGTAATCCAGGAGCTCTCTCGTTTTCCGTATGTTAGAAGAAAAGCAACCAAAAACATTCTCGAAAACTTCCATGCTGTTCAACTGGAATCATACGAAGCTCCATAAACAATTTTGTCTTTCAAGTAAAAAAAAAAAATATATATATATATATCTGTATCTTCACTCCCGTATCTTCACTCTTTGTGTCCCGTGTGTTTACTATGGGAAGTAAGATATATTGCCATTGGAGTCAACAATGTGATGCTCAAGCATCCTATTGTCCATTGTAAACGTGCACCCTGATCTGATATGAATGACACTGGCAAACAAAGTCAATTTTACTGTTTATTTGGTCCACCAATATGTAATTGCAGCTTCATTAATTACCACTAAAGTTACATGGAATAAAATATATCTACAGTTGAAGTCAGAATTATTAGCCCCCCTTTTAATTTTTTATTCTTTCTTAAATATTTCCCAAACGATGTTTAACAGAGCAAGGAAATTTTCACAGCATGTCTGATAATATTTTTTTCTTCTGGAGAAAGTCTTATTTGTCTTATTTTGGACAGAATAAAAGCAGCTATTATTTTTTTAAACACCATTTTAAGGACCAAATTATAAGCCCCTTTAAGCTAATTGTTTTTTTCTTGATAGTCTACAGAACAAACCATCATCATACAATAACTTGCTTAATTACCCTAACCTGCCGAGTTTGCCTAATTAACCTAGTTAAGCCTTTAAATGTCACTTTAAGCTGTATAGAAGTGTCTTGAAAAATATCTAGTAAAATATTATTTACAGTCATCATGGCAAAGATAAAATCAATCAGTGTTTAGGGGTGAGTTATTTAAACTATTATGTTTAAAAATGTGTTGAAAAAATCTGCTCTCCGTTAAACAGAATTTATAAATAAGGGTCTAATAATTCAGGCTTGCTAATAATTCTGACTTCAACTGTATATATGTTGGTTTCTTTCTAACACTTTAAATGTCGCTTAACTTTCTTTAGAGGGCCAGAGAGCTCGTGGATTTCATCTAAAATATACTAATTTGTGTTTTCAATATGATTGAAGGTCCCATGGGATCTGGACATTTTGATTTTGGGGTGAACTACTAACCCTTTAATAGTGTTTTAATGCAGTTTCTTATTGGAGTTTTAATGGAGCAACACTGATCTTTGAACTTTGTCAATTTACCATTGTAGACCTTAGCAATGTTAATGTTAATAATAATAATAATAATACAATCATTGTGTAACTGCATTTAAATAGTTTAAATGTGATTACATTAGAAATATTTATATGTTTGTTTGTTTTTTTGACAGTATGGTACACTAGTAAAACTAAAACTACTGTATTTTTTATATAAAGTACATTTTTACATTTACAAGTACATTTTTATATTGGATTAAGTGAAAAAATGGCTTCTGATTTTAGCCTGTTGTAAAAAAATGAACCCCCTTGGAAAAATGAAAAGGATTTTCTAGTAGTATTTTCATTTTAAACCAGCAGTTTTCATGTCGTGTGACCACATGAAAAAACAAAAATAATTCAGTTCATTCATTGTCTATAAAACAATAGTTTATCTTGGAGTAAATGTAATTGTTTCCTTGGACGGAATAAATATTTTGATCATTATTAAATATTATTTTTCACTTTCATCCAAGTCAAAACTATCATTTGCGGCAAAATTATAAATTTAGCTGTAACAAATTATAGTCTTTTTTTAGGTTGTTATATATAAATACAGTGCTCAGCATATGTAAGTACAAGCCTCACAAATCTCTCTTTTAAATTCATATTTTTAATAGGAAGCTCTACATTATTATATTTGTACATTTACATTAGATTAGTCAGTTCTGAAGCCAAATCTGGAGCTAATAGAGCTAATTTCTATAAGTGATAGAAATATGAACTTTTTTCAGCGTGTATTAAGCAATTTAAACACTAAAATTCCAAATGAAATTGATCTGTATTTCTGAATTTCAGTGGAAATGTCTTGTGTAGGACAGCACAGATCAAATCCTAGGATTCAGGAGTTTTGCTGCCTACTCATAACCACCTTTTCTCTCCTTTCTTCTTTATTTCTGCTCTACCTTTTGTATTGGCATAGAGGGACCCATCAAACTGTACTGTAGGTTTGCTGTGTTATGTTGTGTGTGCTTAGTTCTTTATGTGTGTGTGTGTGTGTGTTAGTAAGCAGTCATGGTATTTTAGTCTGTGTATAGCACTTCTGTAATCTCGATCTGACAGTGTAGATCTGTGAAGCTGCATTGCTGGTTATTCCTCTTGAAACTGAGCATGAAAAACAAGAGAGGAGCGTTCTTTACTTGAGTTCAGCAAATAGCAGGACTGTAAAGCCTATGAGAGAACATGTTCCATGACATCTAAGCTCACACTCTTACACCAGCGGACCAAATCCCTGTTTCCACAAGTCAAGCCATCAACCGCAACCTCATGGAAAACAAAACTACAATTCACATCAGCTCAACATCTGCATCAACATTTGCCCTTAAGCTGCTGTTGAAGATTGTACACTTTCAAAAATAGCCGTAAATTATCAGTTTTCTGTATTTTTTATTTAATTTTTTACTTTATTTATAGTTTTTGTAAAAACATTACAGCAAATAGTGTATATATATATATATATATATATATATATATATATATATATATATATATATATATATATATATATATTAGTGCTGTCAATCGATTAAAAAATTAACTAATTATTCGCACCTTTTAAAAAAAATCGCGATTAATCTAAAACTTGTAATTTTGGCTATTCAAATGTAAAATTAATGTAAACGCAGGACAAAAAATATTTTAATTCAAAATATAATAGTTTATTAGAATTAAAATTTTAAATATAATTGTTTAATAGAATTTTTGTTTAACTTGTAACACAGATTTCTTCATGCAAACAACATACCCACAATAAACCATTAAGATCCTGGCTTGACAGCCATATTTATTGCAGAAATTAAAACACAGGCATGTTAATGAAATTTAAATTTCAAAATAATCAATGCCAATGAAGAAAACATTGATTTCCATGTTGGATTCTAAGTGGACTGCAAAAAAATGCCAAAATACAGGAATTGCAGATATGGAAAATGAAAAATTATAATAATAAACTATAGAATACAAACTGTTGCACTCATTGTAAAGTTTTATTGCTGTGAGTTGAAAACATTAGCTATAGAGTAGAAACAATTTTAATTAATCCTCCGTTACATTCCACTTGCTAAGACTAGGAGTATCCCGCAAGTGCACAGAGACTCCCAAATGCCCGCAAATGAATGATAATTTCTTGCAAACCGGTCGTTAAATACATTGCACACCCCTCTCTCCCCTACTCAGATACGTCGCTCACTCCACCCCTGACACCCCTCAACGGGCCTGACAGACACACACACAACGCGCTGCAGACGTTTTGGCCCCAACGGCCTTCCGTACTGGAGCGACTCCCCTCAGATTCAACACGCATGATCACGTTCATCAAATTTGCTTAAACTAAGCGTCCTAAAGTATTACTGTATTTCACAAGGATTCTGACACAACAACGCGAAGCATACACTTTAGTTGCGTTTAATGAGGAAACACGCTAAACTTGGAGGGCTCATGCTGAAAGGCAGAGTAATGCTCTGTCTTTGACAGCTCGCGACTTCACCAGAGACGTTCTGAGTACATTTACATAAGACACCAATACTGCGATTTTAATATGATTAAATTTATACTCTTATTAAAATTCTACCGTGTAGCCTAAGCAGTGATTTTATTACCTTAAAGAAACACCGAGTCACGAAATGCGGAGGATTTTCTTTCTGTTCGCCATGCGGTATCAACTTACAACAGAAGTCGAAAGTTAAAAATAAAAACACCCGAAATTGCATGAAACTTTTGAGGAGCCTGGTGATGCGACTAATTGTTTTATACTGAAACTTGTCTTCAAAAAGTGCTTCCTTGGTCTTATCCACAACAGGAAGTAAAAAAAAAACCTGCAACTGCGTTAATTGCGTTAAATTTTTTTTACGCGTTAATTATTTAAAATTAATCGCATGCGTTAACGCGTTAATTTTGACAGCGCTAATATATATATATGAACTTGAACATGCACCAAAACACTAGCAAACAATACAGCAATTATACAGCACCATCAAAAAAAACAAAATTTGTAAAAATAAATAAAAAAAATCCAGACTAAAGGAATAAAAATCTAAATCGAATGAAATGTAAAAAAGAAAGGAGAGAGAAGAAAAAAAAATATTACCAAAAAAAATGATTACAGAAACATTATTAACCTATACATCTAAGGAAGAGGTCCCATATTTTGTCATACAGCTTCTGTTTGCCAAATCTAGAGAAACGTAACCCTTCCAGCTTAAGGGCAGAAACTATTTAAGCTAACCATTTAAAAAAAAATTGACGGTGGATTTCCACTCCATCAGAATCACTCTCTTGGCCAGCACCATGCCAAACATAAGGGAGAGTTGTTCATGTTTAGGCCAAGTTAGAGCCTGTTCTGAACATCCAAACAGTGCTAATTCCACGTCAATTTTAATGTCCAATGAGTTATTAAAATTATTAGGATTAGAAATGTGTTGAAAAAATCTTCTCTCCATTAAACAGAAAATGGGGAAAAAATAAACAAGGGGGCTAATAATTCAGAGGGGTTAATAATTTTGACTTCAACTGTATTTTTACAATGACTTTTAATCAGCTGCTTCAAGATTCAGCATTTAGTTTCGCTCAGACTCTAATGGAACGCTCATCATAAGGCCTAAAACACCATGTCTGCTGTGTGAATATGTGTTTGTGTTGTTTTTGCATGTTGAAACAGTGTGTCGTGCTGTTACAAGAAACTGATTGTAAGATAAGGCCGTGGTTGCGTCAATTCAGGAATGTTTTAACGGACACTTAAGTTTTTTTCTCTCCTTTCTTTGATCACAATCTCTGCACAAACTAATATCACACCATCATATTACCCGCAGTCCTCATCTGGGCTGGACATAGGCTAGCTCAAACTCGTTTTGTGGCCTTGATTAAAGATTAACATCACAGGTTTTTCTTTTAGCCTCCAGCATTGTGATCCTCATTTGAGTCAGTCATTAACTGGATCAGTTGGGATTTTTTGGTGAAGCCCTGTATGAAGCAAAACTTAGATTTGACTCATTCTCATGCTAAGATGCCGTTTGAGTCACATCCTCATAGTTTAGAACCAAGGACAGCCGTGAGTGTTTCTCTATTGCTCATTGCGTAAACAATGCTTTGTTTAATTGCTCAAATGTTCCCTCTAATACACTGTAGGAAGCGATTAGGTGACTTTACATAAAAAACAAAACATTTTAAAGTGATCAGTAGGGGTGCAATAGTACATGTATTATAGAAATGGGAATCTTTAGGGACTTCGCATTCTGATCCCATTCTGATTCTGGCCTACACGATACGATTTCAAAGCAAATTTTTTTTTTTTTCAACATTTTTTTCCTATTTCTTTTGCTGTACGTTTTCATGTTTACAACTTAACATCTCAACCGTGACAGTTCCTATGCTTTTATCAAGGCTTTATGTATATTTTAAGTTTTAGAGCTCGTGCCAGCGCATGCCTGCACCTTCGCAATCGAGTTTGAATACTGAATGCAATCTGACTTTTGAGAATTGATTCAGAAATGTGATGAATACAAATTTTTTTTTACCCACCCTTAATGTATTCAACTTAAGCTCATTCCGAAAACGTAGCCCTATATACATTTCTGGAGATTACGAATTATGTAGCCAAAATGGCTGCATTTTATCTTTAAAATGAACGCTATGGGTGGGTATTATGCTGTTGCGTTTATCAGCTGACCGCTTGCCTACATATGGAGGGTTTTCCAGCTGTTACCAGTTTGCCCAGTAGCTTGCCATGTACGTCGGCAGACTTGAGACACAGAGTGGAATTGACCATGACGAGGGGGTTCGAGTTCGGTGAAGAGCGGTTCTAGAAAATGGGTATTGCAAAAGTAAAATAAACTAGTAAATAACATGGTGAGAATGTGGTAAAATATTTTCTTTTTTCTGGATTGCTCTTTAAAATACTATCGGTTGGTTTGAGGGAAGGGGGAGAGTGGAGGTATTGGTCAGTTTGACGGTGAGTCAGTCAACAATGGCCTCTGGTAGCGAGAACAGCAGGCACGATCAGCACTCGCAAGAGAAAGAATCTCTTGAGATCTGAATAAGCGTACACAGTGGCCTCTGGTGGAAAAACAAAAACTGCAAAAAAAAAAAAAAAAAGCTCCTGGAACAAACTTGCTGCTCTTCAGAAATGTATATAGGGGTACGTTTTCAGAATGAGCCTGAGTTAAATGTATTTATCTCAAACTGTCATGGTTTGGTTATTTCATCTGACAATAAATACAGAAAGACACCCCTCCATCATGTTGCTGCCAGATAAAACATTTGTCATGCTAACGTGCTGCTATAAAAAACAGAAGCTTGCAATGCTTCTACGAGAGGTCCACTGCACTAAAATCTGACTTCTGTGTACCGTTACACCCCTAGGGATTAGTTGACTATATACTATTGCTGTTTAATGATTAATTGCAAATAATGGCATATTTATAATACAATTTGGTATATACCTCAAAGCCCCTAATTCTGAGAAAAATCTCAAGATTCCCTAAGGACATTTTTGGCCAAAATCATTTCATTAAATAAAAAAACTTAGCTACTTTATTTAAGTTTTCTACTTGACCAAACAAAATAAAACTGGACAAAGTTAAGTCCAATTCCACGTGAAAATAAAGGTTAACACTAAAATTTTAAGCATTTTTTGTTGTACTTTTACAGATTTATATAAATAAATTAACGGAAAAAAATTAAACAAAATACATAAATTAACAGATTGTGTTTTCAAAGTCAGTGATATGGTGTTTGTCTAAAAAACAAAATTGGGTTTATGCTTGAAACCTTCCCCAAAATATCCACTAGGGAAAAGATTAAGCACTGCAAAAAGGGATGCTTGAGGGTCAGAATTATTAGCCCCCCTGTTGATAAAGTTGAAGTCAGATTTATTGTGAAAAAACAAACAAGACTTTATCTAGAAAATATATATTATAGGAAATCCTGTGTGAAAATTTCTTGTTTTGTTAAACATGATTTTGGAAAATATTTGAAAAAGAAAACAAACAAAAAATCACAGGGTGGCTAATAATTTTGACTTCAACATTTCTGCTGTCTGTTAAGTTGCTAATATTAAAATGAAAATAGGCAGTTCCTTAAATCATGTTTACATTTTATTGTTGAGAAAGTGAAACAACGTAGCCAGGGTGAAGTGAATGAAGTTATAAAGTACACTGTTCCCTTTGAAGATTTACCCGTGTCCTCGGTATACGTTAGTCTGTTTTCCATATTAAACTGAGAAGAAGAGGCTGCAGCCTTGATCAAACTTGCGAAGTCTGAACTTACAAGGAGAGGAGACAGGACTAAACTGTGTGTGTAGGCTACTTAATATTCAGGAAAAGCCCCAATCAGAGAGGCGAATGTTGGCAGCTCCGCCTCCGTTTTCAGATGTCTCCGTTTCCATCATCCACACTGAGATGGAGCAGCAGCGTATTAGAATTAAAACGGCCTCTCCAGCGTTTTCGAAACGCTCCGTTTTCGGCGCTCGAGAAATCCGGCGTAGCGTGGATGGTTGGCGTAATCGTAGCAAAACGTATGCGTTTTCAAACTAAAACGCATTAGTGTAAAGGGGGCGTGTATATCTCTTTTCACTCTCCCTTGTTAATGTGCTCTAGACTGATTATAGTGTGTCGGATGTTCTATGTACAGCACTTTCCAACACTGTAAACAAAACCCTAGCTGACAATATTTTAGGTGACTCAAATTAACTTTTCTAGTCATCTCAACTTACATCAATCAAACTGACTAAAATATTAAGTTATACAATTTAGTTCCAACCTAGTTAACTTATTAAATTAAGTTCAATCAACATAAAAATAAGAACCTTTTTGTCATTTAAGTTTGTACAGTGAAGCAAATAAATTAAGTTTTAGAGGATTTAGTTGCAATTCCATCACCTTCTTCTTCTGAAGCTGGCCCATTGTTGTTCTTTACTCACTGATCACGTCACTTCATTTACCCTCAAATACTGTATGTGCACTGAGATAAACACACCCTGTCTGTGTCTGCTGTTCACCATCCAGCTCCACATCAGTGCATGCTGTTGTGTTTGTGTCATTTGTATGATTATAACATGCTCTTTGTGTTATGTTGTGTAGCTGTGAAAATCAAGAAACCCATCAAGACGAAGTTCCGCATGCCCGTGTTCAATTGGGTGGCGCTGAAACCCAATCAGATCAATGGCACCGTCTTCAACGAGATCGACGATGAAAGAATACTGGAGGTGAGAAAGACAAAGGTTTAAAAACTATTTAGTTAGTGGTCCGCTGTCATTTATTTTGTGTTTTGCACAATGCATAATTCCTATTATATTAGTATTCTTAATATACAGTTAAAGCCAAAATGATTCAATTTTAATCTTTTTCAAACATTTCCATGGTGATTTTTTAAAACACACTTTTAAACTTAATAGTTTAATGAGTAATTACTATTAACAAATTTATTTTGTCTTTGCCATGATGACAGTGGATAATATTTCACTACTTATTTGGCAGGATACTAGTATTAAGCTTAAAGTGACATTTAAAGACTAAACATTAAACAAAAAAAAAATGTTAAAGTTAAAATATGGAACAAAATCAATGCCAAAAGTATTGAAATAAAAACCTTGTTGAATAGCACAAACTGAAAAAACAAACAAACAATGAATTGAAATAATATGATTAAACATGAAATTTACATAGCTGTTTATTAAAGCTGTGAATATTTCAACTAAACATATTTAAAAAAACGCTGTCAATTTTTTTAGCTGGTCAGGCTGGAAAATGAACAGCTATAACCAGCTAAAACCAGCTTAACCAGCCTGGTTTAAGCTGGACATAGCTGGTTTTGGCTGGGCTCCCAGCCTGACTAGGCTGGTCAAGCTAGTTTTAGCTGGTCAACTGCCATTCTGACCAGCTAAGATCAGGCTGGAAATGGCTGGAAACCAGCCTGGAAATCGCCAAACCCCTCTAAAACCAGCCTGGTCGACCAGCTAAAACCAGCCTAGGCTGGTTTAAGCTGTTTTTTTCAGTAGGGAAATAAATTTCTTGGCAAAAATAAAAGACTAATGCTGAATTGTTGTTGGCTTATTACACCTTGTTTTGTTGTTTTACGTTGGTATATAAACTGCACCTATCAATATAGATTATTGTATTTTTTCTCTTCAGGATCTGAATGTGGATGAGTTTGAGGAGATGTTCAAGACAAAAGCACAAGGTCCAGCCATAGACATCACCTCCAGCAAACAGAAGACCGCTCAGAAAGGACCACATAAAATCTCGCTGCTGGACGCCAACAGATCGAAAAACCTGGCCATCACCCTTAGGAAAGTGGGCAAGACATCAGAGGAGATCTGCAGAGGCATTCAATTGTAATTCACAGCTGACACACTATAGATATTTCACTGTCACCAATACCTCTTTAAAGGAATTTACAAGTCCCCTAGAGTTCAAAAGTTGAGTTTTACCATACGTTTTCAATCCATTCAGCCGATCTTCGGGTCCGACGGAAGTTCTTTTAGCTTAGCTTAGCATAAATTATTGAATCGGATTAGACTATTAGCATCTCATTCAAACATGTAAAAAAAAAAAGTTTTGTCTTAGTACATGATGGAACTACAAAAGAGTTTAAATTGAAAAATGATTGAAACTCTTTTAAAGAAATGTTTGTGCAAGATGCTAATGGTCTAATCCGATTCAAGGATTTATGCTAAGCTAATCTAAGGTAAAAGTGCTCCTGTCAGACTGAATGGATTCAAAAGAGGTTAAACTCAAATGTCTATCTCTAGGGGAAATGTAAAATGAGCCGATTTACTGAGAAAAGGGGAGTGATCATTTAATAAATTATTTTATTAGAGCTAATCATGAACTTTTTTGTTGTACTCCAAACTGAACTGACAATCGAATGTGATTATATTAATGCTCTGACGTGTGTGTGTGTGTGTGTGTGTATGTGTGTTTAAGATTTGACTTGAGGACATTGCCGGTGGATTTCGTGGAGTGTTTGATGAGATTCATTCCATCGGAAGCGGAGCTGAAAGTTTTGCGGCAGTACGAAAAGGAGCGCAAGCCTCTGGAAAACCTGACAGACGAGGATCGCTTCATGATCCAGTTCAGCAAGATAGAGCGCCTCATGCAGAAGATGACCATTATGGCATTTGTGGGGAACTTTACAGAGAGCATTCAGATGCTCACGCCGGTAAATTACAAAAAAAAAAAAAAGCTGTTTTCCCTGGAGCTGTGGTAGAAAAACAATTAAGAAATCATTTCTACATCTTTTGTGAGCTTTACAAAATGCATACATTTTCTCTCTAGTATGGATTCTAAGCTTTATTTTTAACAGCTGACGACAGTCTAGGCTAGTTTTTAACCTCAGATGGCATTTTAGACTAGGTTTTACCTGCAGACGGCGCTCTAGGCTAGTTTTTAACAGCAGAAGATGCTCTAGGCTTGTTTTTAACCGCAGATGGCACTCTAGGCTAGTTTTTAAAAGCAGATGGTGCTCTAGGTTTGTTTTTAACAGCAAACAGTGCTCTAGTCTAGTGCTTTAGTCAGCAGATGTCCCTCTGTAGGCTAGTTTTTAACTGCAGATGTCCCTCTATAGGCTAGTTTTTAACCGCAGATGTCCCTCTATAGGCTAGTTTTTAACCGCAGATGTCCCTCTGTAGGCTAGTTTTTAACCGCAGATGTCCCTCTATAGGCTAGTTTTTAACCGCAGATGTCCCTCTATAGGCTAGTTTTTAACTGCAGATGTCCCTCTATAGGCTAGTTTTTAACCGCAGATGTCCCTCTATAGGCTAGTTTTTAACCGCAGATGTCCCTCTGTAGGCTAGTTTTTAACCGCAGATGTCCCTCTATAGGCTAGTTTTTAACCGCAGATGTCCCTCTATAGGCTAGTTTTTAACCGCAGATGTCCCTCTGTAGGCTAGTTTTTAACCGCAGATGTCACTCTATAGGCTTGTTTTTAACCGCAGATGTCCCTCTATAGGCTAGTTTTTAACCGCAGATGTCCCTCTGTAGGCTAGTTTTTAACCGCTAGTTTTTAACTGCAGATGCCCCTCTATAGGCTAGTTTTTAACCGCAGATGTCCCTCTATAGGCTAGTTTTTAACTGCAGATGTCACTCTATAGGCTTGTTTTTAACCGCAAATGTCCCTCTATAGGCTAGTTTTTAACCGCAGATGTCCCTCTATAGGCTAGTTTTTAACTGCAGATGTCCCTCTATAGGCTAGTTTTTAACCGCAGATGTCCCTCTATAGGCTAGTTTTTAACCGCAGATGTCCCTCTGTAGGCTAGTTTTTAACCGCAGATGTCCCTCTATAGGCTAGTTTTTAACCGCAGATGTCCCTCTATAGGCTAGTTTTTAACCGCAGATGTCCCTCTGTAGGCTAGTTTTTAACCGCAGATGTCACTCTATAGGCTTGTTTTTAACCGGAGATGTCCCTCTGTAGGCTAGTTTTTAACCGCTAGTTTTTAACTGTAGATGTCCCTCTATAGGCTAGTTTTTAACCGCAGATGTCCTTCTATAGGCTAGTTTTTAACTGCAGGTGTCCCTCTATAGGCTGGTTTTTAACTGCAGGTGTTCCTCTATAGGCTAGTTTTTAACCGCAGATGTCCCTCTATAGGCTAGTTTTGAACAGAAGACAGCGCTCTATGCTAGTTTTAAACTGTTGATGGCAATTGAGGGTGACGCAGTGGTCGCTGGGTCACTGGTTTAAGCCTTGGCTGGCTCAGTTGGCGTTTCTGTGTGGAGTTAGCATGTTCTCCCTGCGTTCGCATGGGTTTCCTCCAGGTTTTCTGGTTTCCCCCACAGTACAAAGACGTGGTACAGGTGAATTGGGTAAGCTAAATTGTCCATAGCGTATGAGTGTGTGTGGATGTTTCCCAGAGATGGGTTGCGGCTGGAAGGGTATGTGCTGCATAAAAATGTGCTGGATAAGTTGGCGGTTCATTCCGCTGTGGCGACCCCGGATTAATAAAGGGACTAAGCCCTCAAGAAAATGAATGAATGAATGATTAGTGTAAGATATATTGTTAAATTAACAATTTAATTAATTGTAACATGTTAAATTACATTTCTTACATTTATAGTAATTATATAATATTATAAATAAATTCAACTACAGTTTTGTCTTTAGAAATGGTCTTTGTGATATCTTTTTTGATGTTTCAACATTTATAGTAATCTTCTTTTGATAATAATTTTATTTTGTCTCCTGTTTTTTTTTTTTTTTCTTATCTCAATAGCAACTTCATGCCGTCATTGCAGCCTCTGTCTCTATCAAGTCCTCACAAAAACTCAAGAAGATTCTGGAAGTAAGAGTTTTCTTTTTGGCCTGATTCATTGTTTTCCCTCTTGACCATGTGTGTCTTTATCAAGCTGTGTTTCTCTCCCAGATCATCTTAGCTCTGGGGAACTACATGAACAGCAGTAAAAGAGGAGCAGTGTATGGTTTCAAGCTGCAGAGCTTAGATCTGGTATTATTTCCACACCCATTTTTCTTTTAATCCAATCACACATTAGCTATTTTAAATTAAATGACTGGTTTGGCTACTTTAATAAGTAAAAATGTATTTAATTTGATTAATTTTATATTTAGGTTCAGTATCAAAAGGTTCTGATGGTTTGTGTGTGTTTTCTTCCAGTTATTAGACACTAAATCAACAGACCGCAAGATCACTCTTCTGCACTACATAGCAAATGTAGTGAAGGACAAATACCAGCAGGTGTCGCTCTTCTATAACGAGCTTAACTATGTGGAAAAAGCGGCAGCTGGTAAGAAACGTCACATATAACTCTTGACAGTATTACAATAAAAAGACAGTGGTGTTTGATTACATGTCAAGGTTTGATCTAAAAGATGTCTGTGTCTTTCAGTCTCTCTGGAGAATGTTTTATTAGATGTGAAGGAGCTTCAGCGAGGGATGGATCTGACCAGGAAAGAGTACAGCATGCATGGCCACAACACTCTGCTCAAAGACTTCATACAGCAAAACGAGAACAAACTCAAGAAACTGCAGGATGATGCCAAGATCGCTCAGGTACCAGTAATACACTGCAAAACAAATGGCTGTAGGGGTGAGGTTTAGGGTAGGGTTGGGCATCTAAGCTATAATGCCGATCCGATACGCATCTCGATGTAAAGAATACGATCCGATATATTAGCGATACATTTGTGACATATTGCGATGCAACACGATACGATTCACACCCATATCACGATACGATGCAATATTTCAGCACTAACTAATTAGATCAAGTTTATGAGATGATGTGAAAGAGGATGCTGTGCCATTGAATGAGTTTGATTATTTATAAACCAAGCAAAACCAAGACTTTTTTTTACAAACTGACTTTTCTCTCAGAGCCAGAGTGTCAGTTTACAGTAGAGGACCATTTTAGAACATATAGCACATATTATTTAAGTATTTTCAAGATAAACAGAATGTATAAGTGCAATATATATTAAAAAAATATGTTTATATTTGCACTCTTTCAACATAAATAAATTTAGCATTGCACAACAAGAATTGTGATTTAACTTTTCAACTATGAAAACAAGTTTTACAAAGATATATTTTGTCACTGATTATTCAAACTTAAGGTCTTGAACTAGCAGTGTTATGCTGCTTTGAAACATCACTGTCACTGTAAACAACAGGCTAATAAAAATATAACAAACCAGCAATCTTCTTGCTGTGAGGTGGTCAAACTACCCACTGTGCCACCGTGACACCCAATTATTTTTATCATTATTATTATTAATATTATTATTATTATAATTAAATAAAAATTAACAGGAGGAGGTGTTTAAAACCTTCGTTCTCCGTGACACTAGGCTGAATATCTTTGCAGATGAACAATGCAGTAGCATTCGTTATTGGCGTAGAGCGAGCAGAACTGTTGCGCACGGAAAAAAAACTTGCAATGCTTTTCTCACCACTTTTGGAGCTGGTACAGTTGAAGCAGAGCGAAAGCCGGGGATGCAGGAACACTGGAAGATGCTTTCACAACAACACCGTGGCGCTGCTTCAAGTGAGATTTCAGATTAGTCGTACTGCCCGCGTATTTTACAGATGCGCGGCACATTTTGCAAATTGCATCTGTCCTGTCATGTCGTCCATCCTTAAATCCATAATGTTGCCATACTTTAGATTTAAAACTCAGTGGGGAATAAAATGTTTGTTTTGCTTCTCGCACTTTCTGAGGGCGCACCACTAGCCTTATCCGCACACCTGATACACTGAGTTGTAGTGTGTGCACATCCGCAAGTTGCTAAGGCTTACTTTATGTAGGTCGATTAAATTATGCGCCAAAACAGGTTGACAACACTTGTTAATAAATAAAAAATACATTCTATATTAAAAATAGAAGCTGTATCTCGGAAAAATCGATGCATCTCGCAAAAACCGATGCATCTCGATTTGCTTCCAAAATTTCATTCATCCTCTGCTGCTCAACCGATGCACTCGCATCGTGCACGCGCATGACCGCGTATCGATACATATCGGTTAATCTTCCCATCCCTAGTTTAGGGGCTGCTATTATTATTATTATTATTATTATTGTTATTATTAAAAATCCTGTTTCTACATGAATAAAATATATGAAATATATAAATAGAATTTTGTTTCCTCGTGAGATCTTACTGGAAATAATGAAATCATATACATGAACCATTTTTATTGAGATTTTAAAACACTCGGTTATTGTATTTCATGTTGTTCTGAATAACGTTTCTTCTATGGTGTTTTTGTTCATTTCTCATCCGCTCAGGATGCCTTTGATGAGGTGGTGAAATTCTTCGGAGAAAACGCGAAAACGACGCCACCATCTGTATTTTTCCCAGTGTTTGTGCGCTTTGTGAAGGCGTACAGGGTAATAAGACCAATTACACATCACCTTTCCGTTCAGACAGACTGCTTCACTTCTTTCATTCATTTAAACCAGGGGTGTCCAAAGGTGGTCCTGGAGGGCCGGTGTCCTGCAGATTTTAGCTCCAACTTGCCTCAAGAAACCTGCAAGGAGGGCTGCCTCCGAAACCGCATACTTTTATACTATATAGTACGCTAAAATCAGTATGCGAGCCTAGTAGTATGTCCGAATTCATAGAATTCGAAAATGAGCATGCGAGAAGTACCCGGATGACTTCCTACTTCCGGCGAGATTCTGAAGTGCGCATTCCATGCATGCTACGCCATCCCATAATGCCCCGCGAGAGAATTCATGAATGCAAATGAGGCGATGCAACTGACGCAGGTAGGTCACGTGACCATGACAAAATGGCAGATGTAGTACGTCCGAATTCCATTCATACATTTCACATTCATACTGTATAGAACGTACTTTTCTAACGGCCGAGTAGTACGTTTAAATTCAAATGCAGTACCTACTGAGTAGTAGGCGGTTTTGGACGCAGCCGATGTTTCTAGAAAGCTTAGTAAGAGCTTGATTAGCTAGCCCAGGTGTGTCTGATTGGGGATGAAACTAAACTATGCAAGACACCGGCCCTCGAGGACCGAGTTTGGACATGCCTGATTTACACCATCGCTGCTCTGACCACTTGTGTTGCTGAACTACTCATTGCCAACAACACTGATGGGTTTTTCTCTCTATCAGCAAGCAGAGGAGGATAATGAACAGAAGAAGAGACACGAGCAGATGATGATGGAAAAGCTGATTGAGCAGGAGGCGATGGAGCAGGAGGATCAGAAGGTACTAATAATGACAAAATAATGATAGTGAGATTTCAGTAGTGTTTTAGTGTTTGCGTTTGTGTGTGTCATGGATAGACCTACGTGGAATCTGCTTAATTTCGCCCATTTTCAGCACCTCATTAAAGGGCCATGAAACCCCCTCGTTTCAGCAGGGTGTTTTCACACCTCTACTTTGGAAAAAGTCAGAAAAGTGGGCGTGTCCAGCTCTGTTTAGGGGGGAGTGTCGGAGGAAGAAAAGAGGCTTGGTGTGGGAGTGTCTATTTGGGCGCGCTGAATTTCAGAGTCAAAACACACAACCACAGCGGACAATGTGACTGTGTTTACATGGACATCTGTAGTCGAATTATTTGCCAAATTATTAAATGGTGGACTTTAACTGCAGTTTGGCTCTTTCATACAGGGAATTCATTCATGTCCCTCCTGACAAACGTGATATTTGATTCGAGGAACTGCTCTAAGCGTGTATTTTTCATGCAATGTTTGATACCGCACGCCGAATGAGAGAAAAAACTCAGCATTTCCCGGAAACTTAGATGCACACGGCAGATAGTGTCAGAAAGCCGCGTGTCTTATTCCGGTCACAAAATCCTACATGAGGTTATAGTTTGGTTGTAAAGCTAACTTGTTTACACTCGGTGCAATAGTTTGTTTGATACGAATAAAATACGAACTGAATAAACAAAGAGCACTGGTCGCTCACTTACCAAATCTGTAGAGACAGAACAATCACCAGCAACTAGAGCCGCGTCTTTATTAAGAGAAGACTACAAGCGAAACCGGATCTCAGCGTTTGCAGATGAGAACAGCTCTCAGGTAAACAATAATCCTCCTTAGACACGTAAGTTATTGTTGTCGCGCGTCGCGTACACTGTTAATCCACACGAGTCTGCGCTCTCACAGAGAGAAAATGAAAACGAAACTTAACTGCAGCAAAATATAAAAGCAACACTTCACGCTTGTTTTGCCAACACAACGTGGTGTCTCTGTCGTCTAAACACTGTGACAGTAATAAATATTAATGAAGTTGTACAATAGAGCGCGCTGATTGGTTTGAACCAAGCCTTACTCATGCATTAATGCAGCACACTGTAAGACGTAATAAGACACACTCTGGCACAGACGTCCAGTCTGCACGCTGGAATACACGCTATTATGTCATGACCGTGACGCAGCTTCAAAAATTCGTTTCAAACCGGAAGTACGAATTTGCTTGAAATAACGCAAAAACAACCAATTTACACCTTTTTAGTGAAATATAGGTGTCCTAATAGTGTTTTTAGCAGTGTGAGACACATATACGACTGTCAACAACTCAAAAAATGTGTTTTGGTGTTTCGTGACCCTTTAAGTATATTTATTTAGCGGTGTGTAAATTTATATCTATTCAGTTTTTAAATGGATTTCAGTAATTTTACTGACTAATATGAAAACCTTTTTATGATTTACTTACAATACAGTTAGTAAATTAAACATTTCTGTCTTTTAGCAGACATATGCACTGCAAAAAAATGCCTTTCTTACTTAAATTTTTTGTCTTGTTTCTAGTACAAATATCGAAAAGTTCTTAAATCAAGAAGCATTTTCTAGACGGGCAAAACATATTGTCTTGTTTTAAGAAATAATATGCCAAAATGAAGCGTGTTTTTCTTTAAAACAAGCAAAATAATCTGCCAATGGTGTCAGCAAAATAATCTTATCACGAATCAAAAAAACAAGATTATTTTGCTTGATTTGAGGAAAAACTCACTTCATTTTGGCATATTATTTCAGCCTGCGTACCACAGTTTGAGAACCACTGCTCTACATTGTATAGCCCATTTTCTTTCGCTGGGTATGCCATCATTTGAACGCATTGTATAAAGGAGTGTGGGGAGAAGTTTTGTAGATTAACATAACATTGAATGTGGTTGTGTGAGATGTCATTATGTATGTATATGTGTGTTCAGTCTCCCTCTCATAAGAATAAGCGTCAGCAGCAGGAGTTGATTGCAGAGCTGAGGAAAAAGCAGGTGAAGGACAGCAGACACGTGTATGAGGGTAAAGACGGAGCCATTGAGGACATCATCACAGGTACACACAACCCAGCGTTCTGTTGTCGGGGCTGCTTGCAGAACATTTATTATAAAGTGTTAGTTTGAGCCACTAACCAGCTCTCAGTGACTGGTGGGAAGCTTTACTGATCAATAACAATTAACTGACCGTTGTCATTACAGGCTGATTGTGTGTGCGTGTGTGCTGTTACTGCTTACAGCTCTGAGCTGGAGTACTTCTACTAAACATGTTTACTGTAGGCTTAAAGGGGTCATATTATATCTTACGTTTCGATGAAGTTTCAAAGTTAAGTTTATTTATATACTTTGTACACCTTTTTACACACAACTCAAAAAATGATGTGGTTTATAATTAATAATGATAGCAGGGTAATAGGTCTCATTTTGCAGTGATTTTGTTATTAATTTTATCGGCTAAATAATCGTAATTTATTTTTTTACTTAAATAAAATAAGTCACTTGTATTTGCATAGCGATTTACAACAGAGATTGTTTCAAAGCAGCTTTACACAGTAAACTGTAAAACAATGTTGCTGCCTTAAATTTTATTAAGTTGAATCGAATTGGCTAAACAAGTCATTTGAATTTATGTCCATTAAATTGACTCAAACATCAAGTTAAAAACAGTATAACTTAAAAAAAAATTGTTGAAACTTTTAATATCACTAAACTTAGGGCGAAGCAGTTGCGCAGTAGGGAGTGCTGTCGCTTCACAGCAAGAAGGTCGCTCAGTTGGCGTTTCTGTGTGGAGTTTGCATGTTCTCCCTGAGTTCGCGTGGGTTTCCTCCGGGTGCTCCGGTTTCCCCCACAGTCCAAAGACATGCGGTATAGGTGAATTGGGTAGGCTAAATTGTCATGAGTGTGTGTCTATGTGTGTGTGTGGATGTTTCCCAGAAATGGGTTGCGGCTGGAAGGGCATCTGCTGTGTAAAAACGTGCTGGATAAGTTAGCGGTTCATTCCGCTGTGGTTAATTAACCCTGGATTAATAAAGGGACTCAGCCGACAAGAAAATGAATGAATCACTAAACTTAACTTACTAAAATAAATCAATCATCAAACAAAAACTTGTGAGGATTTGGGTTTTGGTAGATCCTGGATCTTTGAATCATGATAAATCATGGTTCTTCAAACCAAATATAAAATTTTTTTTTAAATATAAAAATATAATTTATTTGCTGCTCATGGTTGTTGTGAAGGACAGATCTATAAATCATGATTAGCAAGTTGTTGCAGTTGGCTGACGGCAAGACAATAGCGTAATGACATTATGCCCTTTCACACATACAGACCTTTCCGGAAAATTGCCGGCAATTTTCCGGAAAGGTTGTATGTGTGAACAGGTCCTTTTTGAAAATACCGGTAAATTCGTTCTGGCTTTTTTCCGGAAAGAGAAGTTGTAACATTACCGGCAATTTGCTGGAATGCTGCGCTGTGTGAATGCAGAAGGAAGATTCCCGTAATAAGCGCGTGCACGTCTAGAACGTGCTGACGTGAGACGTCTGCTTTAGCCAATCACAACAGTCAGACGCATTTACGTCTGCGCGGTTTGTGAGGATAAAAGCCTTTGAATATTTTTCCAGACACATTTAGCTGCTAGAAGTTAGTCAGATCACGTTTATATGTTCTTCTTAATGCCAACTGTGTAAATAATCATCGATGAGATGCTTATGATAAGCCGTTGTTTGTTTACGTTCGTGTGCCTGTGAAACAGCCTGTGAGCGCCAGCACACGTACATATTATGAACATCTCGACATGCGAAAGTGATCCTGTGAAAGTTGTTCACAATATTGATCATCCACAGAGTTTGTAATTTAGTCAAATGTTTACAAATACAAGCGCAGCCGTTTAAAGCTCATTTGTGGTGAATGATGTCAGAATTTACCGGTATTTTGGAATGGATGTGTGAATGCTCTTTTGCGGATAATTTCCGTAACGTCCTCGCCTGTGTGAACAGCGCTTTTTTCAATATACCGGTAAAGTCTTTCCGGAAATTTTCCGGATATTTACCGGTATCACTGTGTGAAAGGGGCTATTATTGAATTATTATTACATTTTCAATGAGGTTTGCAAAATTACTTAAAAGTACTATACCCCTGCTGAAAAAAACTTAAAGCTTAAGCTGGTTGGCTGGTTTTAGCTGGTCGACCAGCCTGGTTTTAGAGGGGTATTGGCCACTTCCAGGCTGGTTTCCAGCCATCTCCAGCCTAGTCTTAGCTGGACAGGCTGGAAAATGACCAGCCTGGTTTAATCTGGACATAGCTGGTTTTGGCTGGGCTCCCAGCCTGGCTAGGCTGGTCAAGCTGGTTTTAGCTAGTCATCTCTCAGCCTGACCAGCTAAGACCAGGATGGAAATGGCTGGAAACCTGAGTGTGCAGTTAGGTCTCCAGGCCTGCAGCTTCACCTTACTCGCTGAAGCTGTTTCAGAGCAATACATAAAAAATGACCACTAGGCGTCACTATGGAGACGGGTTTCGAAACGTTTCGAAGCTTCAACACATTCGCTTCAACTGTTTCAGTGTTTCATTTAGCCTCGCTCTGCCCACCACTAAAATGTACAATTGAGACTGAATGAAATGTGAATTAAGGGCACTTTAGAAATCTCTCACTCTCTCTCATTTTGAGGACTTTTACAACTATGTATAAAAACTGTTTTATTCCATTGGGAAAATGACATTCGAGTTTAATGATATGACCCCTTTATGAATAACTCATTCACTTCTAACCATTTAAAAACATCATATTTCAGAGGAGAATTTTATTGTAGTGTGAAATGTACCCTTTATGTAATCCTCTAGACAGCTCTAGAACTGTTTTAGCTGTAAACCATGTTCAAATAGTTGATATAATAGCTGCTAGTACCATGTGATTATGCTAGAGTGTGCTGTTTTGTGTAGAAAGTGCTAACATTGTGCTTGTTGCTGTGGCAGTTAAACCCTGTGTTGTTTGTATGTGTGTGTGTGTTTCGTCTGGACGCAGTGCTGAAGACTGTCCCATTTACTGCGCGCACGGCCAAACGCAGCTCGCGTTACTTCAACGAGGAGCTCCACTTCTAAAGCTTAGACTCTCTCTCTTTTAAAGGTCGCTGGATAAAGCTGCTCTCTTTCTTTCTTTCTGTGTGTGTGTGTGTGTGTGCACCCCTTCACATTCCTGGTTTGATTTCCCTGAGGGACGGCCCTACTGAATGTGTGCTGGCTGATAGATGTGGTCACGTTCATTTTTCATTTCTTTTCCCACTAAAACTCACGCATGAGGGGTGCTGGGAAGGGAGGATCTCACCTATTTTTGCTGTTGTTGCATGGAGTGTAATATGTATTCATATTTATCATTGTAACACGAATGTAATGAGGAAATGTAATGTCACAAAAAGCCAAACAGGTCAGAGTTTAGAATGTACAGCTCAACTACGCCCAGCCATTGAATTAGAGTGCTTTTGGCGCCCTCTGCAGTTTACAGTACAGAAAGAAACCTGGAAAACGAACTCCACTGGAAATGATTTGTGCTGCTTGTTCAAACTACTTATTTAAAGCTTTTTTTTTCAATTGTTTTGCCACAAATTTTCTAAACCCTGATGTCAATTTTCAAAACTCTTAACACTACTTTTAACAGACCCACCAGTGTTTAAAACTCTGTTCATTTCCTTAAAGGGCTCATAGTTTACCCCTTTATTATGATTTAATATTAATATTATGGTTCTTCTGAGTGTGCCAGTTTAGGTTCAGTTTAAAACACAGTTCAGATATTTTTATTATAATTTGTTGAAAATTGTCATGTTGGGGGCGTGTACACAGCTCGCTGTTTTAGGGGCGTGTTGCTTCACATGAAAATTTGTTTCAGCTTCCTGCCCAACGTAACAAGGGGGCGGAGCCAAGAGCTCAGCTGCTCTGTGTTTGCAACAGACAGGCAGACTAAGGGTGCTTTCACACCTGTGAATCGATTCAGTTGTTCCGAAACAGATTGCAAATGTTACATTGTTGCTCTTTTTTTTCTTGGTACGGTTCGCTTTCACACTGCAAAGTTTCTAATCGGACCAAAAGAGCTATAACAAGTCACGTGTGAGTAAACTCTCATCACATTGGTCAGAGTGTCAGGGTTTATTTTGCAGAGTCCCGCTCAGCTGTCAGGAGAGCTGGTGGTTTGGTGGTGTTTGACAAGGAGCGCGTGACGTGTCTAAAGAGTGAGGGGAGATGCGGTGGGGAGGGGTGAGAAGGGTGCGCAACGTAGCCTATTTGAGGACCGGGAGGGAGACGTGAGATTACCGGGAGATTATCAATCATTTGCGGTAATAAGGAGACTCGCGAAACTTAATACACATAATTCTCTCTTCATATAGCCGTATGCCTATTAGATATCCATAAAACACAGTGATATAATCGCGCTCGGATCGTCTTGCTTTCTCACTGCAATCGATCTGCTCCAGAGTTCGTTTCAATCAAGCCGAGACCACCTCATTCAAGCAATCTCAGAGCGATTGATTTGCCGCTGATCCGAGAGTGATTGGTGGTTTCACATATGCCAAACTAACCGCGCTAACTGGGCAAAGAAGACAGGTTCCGAAACAAAAGTGTAGGTGTGAAAGCACCCTAAAAGAAGAAGCAGGAGTGAGAGGATCAGCATACAGCCGTACATGTACTACTCGGACACAGACCAAGCAGAGTACATATATATATAAATTTTCATATATTCATATTTATATATATTTATACATACATACATTGAAGTTTTGAAAAATGAATACATTTAAAAATAGCACCATATTTTATTATCTCGTGGAAAACAGATCCAATATGGAAATCCATGCAATCTTCCTGTTGATTTTGTCATTCTAAATTTCTGGGTTGAACATGATTGATGAGTTTTATTTTTTGAACATTAGTATATGCAAATGCCACCCCAGTTGCTGTTTAGTCCTCTAAGGCTTTAATTCTCATTTCATGTCAGTTAACTTGAGCTGTCATTGCTGAAGCACTGGCCTGTTGGTTTGTGACATTATGATTTGCTCGTGTGATCATTTGTCCATGTCATTGTGAGTCATTGAGATTTTTTTGGGAAGTATTACCATGCTCACTGGTTTTCTGCATTCTCTCACTCCATCTTGTCTTGCTGTGATGGGAAGTTCTGGTATCATGTGACTTTCTGTCTTCCACACCTTTAACTGTCTGCATGAATCATGTTGAGGATTTTTCCTCATGTTCACTTCATTTGCTGCACTGACTTCATGCATTCTTTAAGTAAAGGAGAGAATTATGCTGTTGACTAAAGTATATGCATCTGAATTTAACAGAATCTCACCAAAAGAGTCTAAAAATGTCAAATTATATATATTAAAAAAAATTCATATACCACCTGTGGACCGGTTTTCAGTAAGTATAGTGTCAAAAGTTGATAGCTGATAAGACAAATTGGAGTTCAAATGCACCATGCCATCACAATCTCGCAAACTGCAACTTGTGAATACAAGTACATCAGAAGTGATACACGAACGTCAAACCATTGTCCAGTCGTGTGTTATCATAAATTGATCCAAGAAAGAACGGCCAGTCACACACTTATAAGCAGTGACCGCAGGTCCACAGAGTGACAAATCACAAGCAGCTACAACAGTTGTGACCAAGGCATCAGATTTTATTAAAGAGATAGATCACTCAAAAATCTTGCCATTATTTACTCGTCATTCACTTGAGAATTTTATTTCTTTCTGATGAACACAAAAAGCAGATATTTTGAAAAATGTTGAAACATAGTATTTCCATAGTATTTCTTTGTCCTACTATGGAAGTCAATGTTTACAAGTTTCTAACATTATTTCCCCCAAAATATCTGCTTTTGTGCTCATAAAGGTACGGAACCACCTGAGGGTGAGTACATTATCATCCCTTTAAATAGGCTCAGAGGTATAATGTTTTCATTCATTCGTTTTCGGCTCAGTCCCTTTATTAATCCGGGGTCGCCACAGCGGAATGAACCGCCAACTCATCCAGCACATTTTTACCCAGCAGATGCCCTTCCCATCACTGGGGAAAATAATATTGTTTATATTCATCAAAGGGTGACACAAGAAACACTTGTGACTTTATACTTAAGGGGTAGTTCACCCAAAATTGAAAATTCTGCCAGTATTTACTCGCCCTTCATCCAAACCCATTTATTTCTTCTTCAAACGCAATGGAAGACATTTTGAAAAATGCTGAAACCCTGTAATCCCTGACTTCCATAGTGTTTGTTTTTTCTACTATAAAAGTCAATGGTTACAGGTTTTCAGCCGTCTTTAAAATGTCTTCTTTTCTGTTCAACAGAAGAAAGAAACTCAAAGATTTATAACCACTTGAGGCTGAGTAAACAGTAAATTAAATTGTCCTTTTTGTGTGAACGATCCATTTAACGCTGTGGCCTCCAAATTGACCTGACATGAATACAATTAAACATTTGTGGATCACACTGGAAAAGTTATGCCATGATTAAGCTACATCACCATCACCTCAAAATATATGTGACCTGGCGGACCTGCTACATTAGCATTGTATAAGATATCCCACTAAACCGAAAACCACCTAAACAAATTATTGCCTCACAACGTGCTCTGTTTTGCAGGTTAAAGGAGATCCTGTAGTTACTATATTTGGTTATAATATAATGGCTCGTCTTGGTATACGTTTTGGTGAGATTCAGCACTAAATTTAGATACAGCATAATTCTCTCATTTACCCATAGTAGATGCATAAAGTCATCCCAATGTGTTTAACATGCATGAAGCATGTTTTGAGATGGTGTTCTCATCTTTAGTTCATTTGCTTCCGTGACTTGATGCATTTCAGCAGGGTGAATAAGATCTCAACAAAACAGTCTAAAAATGTCTGTCATATAAAATATCTCTCAAAGTAAAACATGTAACTGCTCTAATATGAGCTTGAATATTTATGAACATTCAAACTTTTATTAAAGGATAGTTCACCCCGAAATGAAAATTCTATCATCATTTGATTTGTTTCAAACCGATTTAGTTTGTTTTTCTGAATATAAAAAGATGCATCTACACATACCCCAATCCTAAACCCAACCCTCAGTTATTAACATCTACACCTACCCCAACCCTCTATAAATAACATCTACACCTACCCCAACCCTCAATGATTAACATCTACATCTACCCCAACCCTAAACCCAACCCTCAATAATTAACATCTACACCTACCCCAACCCTCAATAATTAACATCTACACCTACCCCAACCCTCAATAATTAACATCTACATCTACCCCAACCCTAAACCCAACCCTCAATAATTAACATCTACACCTACCCCAACCCTCAATAATTAACATCTACATCTATCCCAACCCTAAACCCAACCCTCAATAATTAACATCTTCACCTACCCCAACCCTCAATAATTAACATCTACACCTACCCCAACCCTCAATAATTAACATCTACATCTACCCCAACCCTAAACCCAACCCTCAATAATTAACATCTACACCTACCCCAACCCTCAATAATTAACATCTACACCTACCCCAACCCTAAACCCAACCCTCAATAATTAACATCTACACCTACCCCAACCCTAAACCCAACCCTCAATATTTAACATCTACACCTACCCCAACCCTAAACCCAACCCTCAATAATTAACATCTACACCTACCCCAACCCTAAACCCAAAACCTTGGTTATTAACCTCTACATCAACCCTTAACAAAACCCTCACAGTTAACATCTACACCTACACCTCTACCTTCATCGTTATACATCTACACCTACTCCAACCCTAAACCCAAACCACACAGTTATTACCTTATACACCTACACCAACCCTAAGCAAAACCATCAAGGTTAACGTCTACACCTACCCCAACTCTAAACCCAACCCTTAATTATTAATATCTATAACTAGCCCAACCCTAAACCCAAACCTCAGATATTAACTTCTACACCAACCCTAAATCAAACCCAGTTAACATCTACACCTACCCCAACCCTCCTGGTTATTAACATCTACACCTACCCCAACCCTAAACCTCACAGTTATTAACTTCTACACCAACCCTAAGCCAAACCCTCACAGTTAACATATACACCTACACAAACCCTAAACCAAACCCTCACGGTTATTAGCATCTACAACTAGCCCAACCCTAAACCCAAACCTCAGATATTAACTTCTACACCAACCCTAAACCAAACCTTCACAGTACCTGTAGCCATTGACTCCCACAGTATTTGTATTTCTACTAGGGAAGTCAATGTTTACAGGTTTCAAACACTAAACAATTTTTAGAAATCTTATTTGTGTTCAACAGAGGATAGAAACCCCTCTAGGGTGAGCAAATAGAGAGTACATGTTCATTTTTGGGTGAACTATCTCTTTAAACACGACTGGGAAGACTTGTTTTCTTGAGATTCTCCTACATAATATTGCACTCTTAAGTTTCCACAATGCTTCATGCCTTCTACTTACCCACACATCCTGGCTTATAACACTGCACTTCTGGGAAGCTTGACACATTTTCATTGGTTTCACTGTTTAAATATGAAGTGACCGTGCAAGAGGTCAATACTTGCTTTGTTGTATCTGGACGCTGGAGCCGTTGTGCAGAGCAGCTTGAGTAATAGAGTTGATTAGCGCAGTTCTTTCAGTGGCGCTTCAGTAACACCTTCCCCGCAACTGCCTATGACCTGTTGACCTTTCCTCTTTTTGAGCCCTGGGCAGCTTGGCTCGCTGTGCTGCGGCCTGCAATCCGCTCCAACTCTAACCTCCATTTTTGTTTCCTCTCCACTCAGCCTTAAAGAAGAATAATATTACTAAATTCCCCAATGTGCACTGGAGAGTAAGGAACTCTTCCAGTAGTACCCCAGTGGATGCTACTCAGACCTGGCAAGCATCTCTCTCTTTATTATTATTATCATTGTTCATTCTGCTCCCTCCAACATTAGAGTTGCTTTCTTTTGACACTGAACATAGAAGCCATGTTCACTTTCTGTCTGTCATTCTATTTAACACACATCAGGCGTCTTGAAGTTTGACCCTCAAGGGCCGAGGCTCCAGGTACCTCATTATGTACCTCATCACCCGATTGAACTGATTTGATTAGTTAATTAGGTGATGCTGTGACCTGAGACCCTTAGACTCTGCCTTGCATAGTTTCACGCTGAACTGACCCACATGTAGAAATATAGTTTAGTCTACATTAGTGTCATTTCCATCGAGTTCTCTTCTCTAGGAGGAACACTGAGCTCAAAGCAAACGAACACTAAAAATGTCAGAATGTCACTGCTTTTGAATGAAGTACATCTGCTTAAAGTTATTTTGCAAAAGGTCAGTAAAATCTACTTGTTTAAGTTTTTTAATGTTACAGATATGACGCTTTCTTAAGATGATGTACTGGATCAGGTTCAATATGGTAGCACCCATGCTACTGTGAGGGTTTGGGTTTTGGGTTGAAGTAGATGTAGATGTTAATAATTGAGGGTTGGGTTTAGAGTTGGGGTAGGTGTAGATGTTAATATCTGTGAGCGTTGGGGTAGGTGTAGATGTTAACTGTGAGGGTTTGGTTAAAGGTTGGTGTAGAGGTCAATAACTGAGATTTGGGTTTAGAGTTGGGGTAGGTGTAGATGTTAATAACTGTGAGGGTTGGGGTAGGTGTAGATGTTAACTGTGAGGGTTTGGTTAAAGGTTGGTGTAGAGGTCAATAACTGAGGTTTGGGTTTAGATTTGGGGTAGGTGTAGATGTTAATAACTGTGAGGGTTGGTGTAGGTGTAAATGTTAACTGTGAGGGTTTGGTTGAGGGTTGGTGTAGAGGTCAATAACTGAAGTTTGGGTTTAGGGTTGGGGTAGATGTAGATGTTAATAATCGAGGGTTGGGTATAGAGTTGGGGTAGATGTAAATAACTGAGGGTTGAGGTAAGTGTAGACGTTAACTCTGAGGGTTTGGCTTAGGTTTGGTGTAGAAGTTAATAACTGGGGTTTGGGTTTAGGGTTGGGATAGATGTAGATCTAAATAATTGTGAGGGTTGAGGTAGGTTTAGATTTTAACTGCGAGGGTTTGTTTTAGGGTTGGTGCAGAAGTTAATAACTGTGAGGTTTGAGGTAGGTGTAGATGTTAACTGTGAGGGTTTGGCGTAGGGTTGGTGTAGATCACCTCAGTTCCTGGAGGGCCGCAGCTCTACACAGTTTAGCCTTACCCTAATAAGACAACTGATCAAACTAATTGAGTCCTTGAGGCTTTTTTGAAACCCACAAGTAGGTATTTGGAAGCAGGGTTGGAACTAAAATGTGCAGTCCTGCAACCCTCCAGGAACTGGAGTTTGACACCCTGGTGTAGATGTAGAAGTTAATAAGGGTGAGGTTTGGGTTTAGGGTTGGGGTAGGTGTAGATGTTAATAACTGTGAAAGTTGGGGTGGGTGTAGATGTTGATAACTTCGAGGGTTGAAGTTTGTGTAGATGTTAACTGTGAGGGTTGGGTTTAGGGTTCAGGTAGGTTTAGATCAGGGGTGTCCAAAGCTAGTTCAAGTGTGTTAAATTGTGATGGAAACTAAAATACGCAGGACACCGACCCTCAAGGAGCGAGTTTGGACACCCCTGTTTTAGATGTTAATAACTGAGGTTTGGGGGTAGGTGTAGTAGTTAATAACTGAGGTTTGGGTTTAGAGTAGTTGTAGATGTTAATAACTGTGAGGGCTGGGTTAGTTGTAGATGTTAACAACTGAGGGTTGAGTTTAGGGTTGGAGTAGGTGTAGACATTAATAACACACAACAACCGATCGCTCATGCACGTCCATTATGTATTGAACCTGATACAGTATGTCATCCTGCAACAGGCTGCAGCGAGGACACTCTAAAAACACATTGTGTGATCTCTCGTATTTTGATTAGAAGAAAAAAAACATTTTTCATTTTCTGCAAGGGGTTCACAAACCTTTGCATGTTACAAGAGTTATTCTGTAAAAAAAATGATAATAATCTCACTACCATAACTTTTTTTGTTTTAGAATTAACTGAAATTCCAATCATCTCAATATACACATCAATTAAATGACTTAAATATTAAGTTAAACTTTATTAATTTATCAAAATATGGAGAATCATTTGTTGTCGTGACTGTCATGTTATTTTATAGTGTACTGTCATTGATAAACATGGTGCTTCAAATGCCTTTTGCTGATATTTTGTATTATAGTGCAGTGCCATTCAGACATTCAACCTCTTACTTGAGAGTTCAGATATGTTTTGTCAGTGTTTTTCCAACAACCTTGACCAAAAACTGTTTCTGTGAAAAAAGCGCCACATTTAGTACAGTAGTTTCCGTTCACATTCAGAAACTGAAATAGAACTCCAAGTGCTTTTAGTGCAGTAAAACCTCAAGCTGCTTTGCCCAGTTGGCCACCAGCATGTCCAGAAGATCTGAACCCAGAGACTGACTAAACTGTATTGTGTTCCTCCTACATCAGATCTGAGAAACCAACCTTACAGGCGCGCTGATGCCGTCAGGAGGAGTGTCCGGAGACGCTTTGATGATCCCAATTTGCGGCCTGTCAACAACGCAGAGATGGTCATGTGACGAGGGCGGAGTGAATGTAGTGAATGGAATGGAGGAGTTGACAGCTCCAGAACAACGTAATGAAGGACTGAAGATGACAGCAGGTCTGAAAGTCAAGTGCCTACACTTAACATCTGTCCAATCAGGTGTTGAATCAAACGTGTAACTGTCTTCTGTTTGTAATTTTTGTTTGTTTTATACGAAAAGTGTCTTGATCTGTCTTATATCTTAAATCGTAGATGGCGAGATCAGTGTTTCTCTTGAGAAGGTGTCAGAATGTTAAACTATTCCAACACTTGCATCATAAACCTGTACAAAAGCTGAAACATTTCAGTGCTTTCGCCACATCTGATCAATCTGGATGAGCGACTTTTTAAAGTCGACCTGAAATGGAAGTTAAGATTGTCTTGCATCCACTTGAAACAGTCCTGAAACGAGAAAAGAGTAGGCCGGTGCATGATTGGATTCATTGGTTTGTTGAAAGAATCAATGAGTTCAGAAATACTCATAGCCCCACTTTAAAGGAATTCCATGTGACCAGGAAGTGCAGATCAGTCGTTTTGAGGGGATGGGAAGGTTATAGTACTTGATTAAAGAACAAGAACTACTTACTGTATACAGTGTTGGGGAGTAACTGAATACATGTACCGGCGGTACGTATTTAGAATACTATTCATGAGTAACTTTATTCCGTTACAGTTACTATTTTTAAACAGGGTATTTAGAATACAGTTACTTTCCTAATACCATTGGAATACTTCGGCCCATGCATGTCTGGCCCATGATATTACTAAATTACCGCCGAAACCATAGAAACAGAAGCTACACTCCCGACTGCAAGTACCAGTGTTAACTCAGTGAGACTCACGCAAATGACCCTGTTCTCATGCTCTTACCTCCATTTTCTCACGCAGCAAAAGGGACGATCAGAAACACCGGACAACAACCATGTTTTTTAAATAAACTGCTTTTTTTGCCATCATTGTCCGTGAATTTGCTGCTTGATGTTTCGTTTGCGCTTTCAGAGGTTTCGTTTACGCTTCTTAAATTTGCGTTTGCTTTTCTGACACATGTGGGCGGAACTTATGGGCACCTTAGCCAAAGTTGGCAGCCCTGGTTAACTTGAGTGTACAAATATGGAGGATTCAGACCAGGGGTCCGTTCTTCGTACGTGGATTACTCAGTTAGCTGGATTTGGATATTAACGATTTGACACGATCAAGGATCGTTTCGTTCTTCAAAGCTGATCCGAGAGTTGTTGTCATGGCAACAGTTCTGCTAGGTCAAACCTGATCGGGAGCAGGTTTAATTCATATAAACAGGATTAGATCGGCTTAGTTCAAGCAAAGATAATACAGAAAGTATTTACCGAATTCTGATATTTTCTTACAGTAGTACTTATATACACTTGGGAAAATAATACATAATTTTTAAATATATATATAAAGTTATAGTCATTAATAAAATAAATAAAGTTATACATATTAATAAAACATATGCAATCTGCACCCTCGAAATGAAAGTACAAAGACTGCCATCTGGTGCAAAGAGAAAACTTATTGAAATGAACTTTTTAGATCGCTTTAGAACAAATTGTGTATAATAGAAATGCAAAATATGTGATTTTTTTTAAGCAATAATACATTTATGCAGTCATAAACATGTTTCGATAGTTAATATGCCAGTGATTTGATGCTTCACAAAAGTTGCAGACGCCTTTACCAATATCAAAATGCTTTTGTAAACAACCAGTTATTCTTTATACACCGATTAAAAAACGGCTACATTAATAAAGAAAATCTTTTCTAAATGTAGAACTAAATGCATTGATTTGCATTGAAATACATGATGAATACTCTTGTCTTGACAAATGAAAGTGTAAAGCCTGCAGCTCATAACAAATGTGGAAAGTTCTTGCGTGTCATATTAAACAAAACGGTTACTGCTAATTTGATGTAATTTTGCTCACATGGATAATTGAATATTAATCAGATGATGTCATTACGCTGCTATGCCGTCAGCCAATCGTTGCATTGCTGATCATGATTTCGAGGATCGATAGATCTGTCCTTCATAACACACGCAGCGATCTCAGATCAGTTCATCCAAACATTCTAATCTGATTCGCGAACTTGTTTGAAGAACCAAATTAGCGAGAGATCAGTTATCAAGATTAAAAGATCCAGGATCTGCCAAATCATCTTAGATCATTTAAGCGAGGTACGAAGAACGGACCCCAGGAGCTCGAGGGGTTGGAGCTGCAACCGAAGCAACCTTCTAGCAGCAGGAAAAAATGCATTCACGTCTTGGAAGTTCAAGTATTTTTTCTCTTTAAAGAATTAGAGGGGTGAGCGAAACCTGACAGTGCAGTGCAATCTCTGCCTGCCAGCTAACAACCTTAAAACAAAACTTGTTCATTTTGAGGTTTACATTTTTGTAAAGCAAACACATTTTGCATTCTTCTAATATTTGCAATATTGTTCTTAGGTGAGACGTTTTTATAATAGAAATTAAAATAGATACGACCTGTTACATTACCTTGGTTTTACATAAACTATTTTGAAGTTTTTTCTTTTCTTTAATAGACTTGAAGGCTGTTTTCAAGGGGAAGTATTCCAAGTGTTTATAATACAGTAACAGGATTAAGCAAAGTAACGGAATATGTTACAAAATACATTTTAAAGCAGGTATTCTGTAACTAAATACATTTACAACTAAATACATACAATACATTTATTCTCCCCAACACTGACTGTATACATGTAAAAATAAGAAGAGGACATTTTGATTTGAAGGCGACTTTATGTTAGCTGAAACTGGCCACATTCCTTGTTGAGAAAAAAATATAATAGAGCATAAGAAAGGTTTAAGGAAGTTAAAGCTGTGTTGTAAAATGTTGATGGCTGGAGATGCTGCAGGTTGCGACACGGATATAAACAACATGAGCATTGTTGAAAGAAGATGGAGTGTAGGAGTGTTTGTATGTGTCGTATTATGAAAGACTTCAGGCAAGTAGGAGAAAGTTTAAGGAAAGGATTGATGTTGCTAAGGAAAATGTGAAATTATGAACTGGAGTATCTCGCATTTCTGGAAACAAGTCTAAATGAAGTGCTGTATGCAAATTACCTGATAAAAGTCGTGGATTCCACTTGTAAGAGCAACAAATAATAACTTGACTTCTAGTTGATCATTTGGAAAAAGTAGCAGAAGGTGGATTTAACAGATGAATCTTCTGTTGAACTGCATCCCAATCATCACAAATACTGCAGAAGACCTACTAGAACAAGATTCATGGATGGATACAAGATTCTCACAGAAATCAGTCAAGTATGGTGAAGGAAAAATCATGGTTTGGGCTGAAATTCAGTAGGGGTGTGCGAGAGATCTGCAGAGTGGATGGCAACATCAACAGCCTGAGGTATCAAGACATTTGTGCTGCCCATTACATTACTAACCACAGGAGAGGGCGAATTCTTCAGCAGGATAGCGCTCCTTCTCATACCTCAGCCTCCACATTAAAGTTCCTGAAAGCAAAGAAGGTCAAGGTGCTCCTAGATTGGCCAGCCCAGTCAATAGACATGAACATTATTGAGCATGTCTGGGGTAAGATGAATGAGGAGGCACTAAAGATGAATCCAAAGAATCCTATTGAACTCAGGGAGTCCTGCAAGAACACTGAGTTATTTGAGTCAGTGCTGAGATGTATGATGCAGTCCTCCAAGCTCATGGGAGTCAGACACAATATTCATTCTTTTTCCACTGCACAATGACTTTAAATTCTATACTGTACATAATTTTTGTTCAGTGACAAGACTTTTGTCTAAGCAAAGTCAGACCTTACTGTCCTAAATAAATAATTTAAAATCAAGGCATGATCATATTTTATTTTGGTCAAATAAGCGTAATCTAGAGGCCTTTGCCATTTATATAAGCCACTTCTGATACCAAATGATCCACTAGAAGTCAAGTTATTATTTGCTGTTCCTAAAACTTGAATAAGCGTCAAGACTTCTGTCAGGGAGTGTAATCGGGTTCAAACCGTTTTTTTTTTTTTTTTTTTTTAAATGAATGAAAATTCTGGAATCATACTCTTTAAAATTGCATTTCTGAAAGTTTCTTTGATTGACTACAGGCCTTGATATCTGACACAGTAAAAAGCAAGAAAAAAGGAGATTACACTAAATAAATATAAAAATGCTGGATTGCCGTAACCCAATGTTGGTTATGATAATACAATAGATATTCACCTTATTCTCAGCTGACGAGTGGGCGCTGCCATTTGAATCTTTTTGTCTCGCGACTTCCGGTCACATTCACTTCCATTCATTTTTTGACGTTAAAAACTGCTCGTTACGCTGCTTGATGTTGCAATTTAATATTTTCTTATTATATTATGCTACTTGGTCTGTGTACTCATGCAAACATTTGTTTGTTGAGCAAGTAGTTTGGCCATTTTCTGCCGTTTATTATTCCTTGTCATTTCTCCCATAGGCGACTGAATCGGAAGTTCTAAGACAATCGCGAAAACAGGCGCACTTCCGCATTTTAGAATAAGGTCAATAGGCAAAAGCAACAACAACGTTGTTTGTGTCCACATTTTACCCAACACTGGGTTATTTTCATTCATTTTCTTTTCGGCTTAGTCCCTTTATTAATCCGGGGTCGCCACAGCAGAATGAGCCACTAACTTATCCAGCATATGTTTTCTGCAGCGGATGCCCTTCCGGCTGCAACCCATCACTGGGAAATACCCATACAGTCTCATTCACACACATACACTACGGCCAATTTAGCTTACCCAATTCACCTATATCGCATGTCTTTGGACTTGTGGGGGAAACTGGAGCACCCAGATGAATCTCAAGCGAACATGGGGAAAACATGCAAACTCCACACAGAAATGCCAACTGACCCAGCCGAGGCTCGAACGAGTGATCTTCTTACTCTGAGGTGATAGCGCTTACCATGTCGCCCACTGGGTTACTTTTTGCAAATAAATTTAAGACACTTTCTAAGAGTAACTGTTGGGTTATTACACTTTTCAACAGCTGAGTTTGTCAATATATGAACCAAAGTTGGGTTACAACATCCCAGCATTTTTCTATTGATTTTAAAGCAATCAATTGACTTAAAGTGAGTAAACTATTTGCTTTAAATAAGCAAATTAACAATGTGAATAACTATAAAAGCCCTTGGTTACTGTTCAAATGGACAACCCTGTTATGTTCGTGACTGTTTTGACAAAATTTTTACCTCTTCCCAACAGAGAAAACCACCAAACAATAAGAATATATAATAATATGGTGTGGCTATTTAATAATAAATGTGTTTATAATGGAAGTCAATGAGGCAAAAACAGCCCTGAACATAATGGAAGGGTAGTGAATTTGCCCAGAGTGTATTGTTGAGTTTTTGAAAAATTTCAAATCACTGTCCTAAACCATGTGTCAAAATAAGATTTGCCACCAAAAAGCGTTCCATTTGCTGAAACACGAAGAAACTTGTGTCCAAATGAAGACTCTAAATCAGCCCAGAGTGGATGCAAACATCCCCAACCGCACACAAGGGTGAACAGTTTCAAGTAACAACGGGTTTGCTCGCTTTTTACAGTGTAAAGGCAACTTTTGTTGTTGTTTTTTCACTTCGATGTGAAAGGTTTGAAACCCCTGAGCTGCTGCATACTCTAAGCAAACATTCAGACAGCGTCCATTCGATTTAACATAGATTTGAACATATATTTAAACATGCTGCTTGTCTACATCTCAGTAAGAAATTAACAGCAGTTAAGAATCTAATAATCATGATGGCTTTTACCGTACATGAGCTCTGCTATTAGGCACTCCAGTTTAGTCATTGAGTTTGCTCGAAGTATATCTGGGCCTTAAATGAGCAGTGTCGAGGGATTATAGGTAAGAAAAAAAGTCTGTAAAAACTGACAACGATGAAAGAAAAATGGACATCGATGCACTTTGAATGAAT